TCTTACGTCGTCACTTCTCGTGTGGCGTTGTGCGATAAGCCATCCGACTGCAGCTGGACAGTGAGCTGGAAGAACGACGGCAGCACACTTGCATTGTAGTTGACGGGAAGAGAGCAGTTCAGGCCAGGCAGGCAATCCCTGCACGTCCACGTTTCGAGACTCTCGCTCCCGTCGCCCCCCATGCGCACACCAACAGACCCTGCTGTGCATGGCTCACACGGCTCGTTTCCACGCTCATAACCAAGACGACAGTAGCATGCAGCTGAGCCTTCATGAGAACCTGCCGACACATATAAGTAGACCAACAGTGAGAGTCGAGTGAGAGTCGTCAAGATGATCATCACATACTGCTTGCATCTTACCTGCATCATCGGGGCATTGTTTGCACGTTTGTGTTCCGACTTGTCTGTTGCTGTATGTCCCTGCCGGACACATAGTACAGTTGATGCCCGTGCCCTCATAGCCGGGTAGGCAGCGACAAAGGGCATCTGAGTCGAAGGTGTAGTCAACCTATCAGAAGCGCATTGGCTGTGCTTCGGATATGGTCCTGTGTCTTAACTTTATATGTCTCACCTCAACTTGATTCCATGCAGCGCAAAACTCTGTACACTCAAAACGCTCCTCACCGTTGTCTGATCTCCGCGCCGAATATCCTACACCAGCCACACAGAGGCATCCACGGTGGATGTCTGCTCCCACTTTGCTGTGTCACTTACCGAGCGGGTCGGGTACGAGCGGCCTGAGTTCGTATGTTTCCTTATCTGGACACCAACTGAAATTCTTGTGTGTCAAATTCAGGTCTCGACGCAAATCTTGACACTTCTGTAGCACGAGCACACACACACACACGCACAGACATCAAAGAGACACACACGAAACAATACATATACTACCACGACCAGCGACACACGTATGAATGCTCCGCTTAATCTCTTCTCACCTCGATGGCTGTAAGGCTGATACATGCCGCAGTCTGCTCTCTTTTCAGGTCTGGGTTCTGAGCAAGCTTCAGATTGTCGATTGATTCAAAGAGGTCGGGGTAGCTGGTCACTCGTCTCAGGGAGTTATTCCGCAGATCAAGGTGGTACATCGATGACTCCCATGCCTTCCATGTTTCAGTCGTGTCGATGGCGGTGATGTTGTTGTCGCTCAACGAGATTTTCCCAAGGTTGGGCATGGGCCAAAAGAGATGCCACCAATCGATCGTCTGCTGTACACAGTGCACATACTGAGTGGTTTTCTGCCGAAGTACTTGTGTATCTTCGCGTTTTCCAATAGCGTGTGCTCACCGATGAGGTGCTGCTGGCTTGCTCAAGGATCGTCTTTTCCTCCTCCAGAGCCGCACGGTCGAACACAAAGGAGGCCTCACAACCTAGTAACCCATCCAGCTCACAATTCGATGCTTCCAACACCTGCAAACTGTCACACACACACACACAAAGAGACAGAGCAAGTCACAGAAAGCCAGTAATCTTCACTTACTTGTCCTGCCATTTGAGGGGCATAAAAAACTCGGTCGCGTCGACTGCGATGGGATTGTTGGACACATCCAAGTGTGTGAGAGAACCCCAGTCGGGTGGGAGTGGAAAGTAAGTTGAATTCAACAAACTCCTCAGCACATTCAAGATATTGCCTTCCGACGCTGCCGCCGCTATCAATCCATCGCACACAAATACGCACCAACTACACATCTGTAGACATATGACTACCTGCCCGCCTCTATTGCGTGTCAGTAGCTGACTTAGGTGGTCGTTATCGCAGAAGCCGCTCGGTGTGGAACCCCACTTGGGCCACTGGCTGATGTGATTGTTGGCGAGGTGAAGTGTCTCTAAATTGGGCATTGAGCGGAAGCCCTCCGGCAGGGCGGTCAGCAGATTGTGCTCTAGATGCAACACTTTCAACCTGACACACGGACATGCACGTAAAAAACACACCGACTGCGACACAACACAAACAATGTCTCTATCTCAGTGTGCGCGTGTGTGTGAATATGTATATATAGCTGGGGTGCGAACGATTGTGGGATCGTGTTCCGTCCGTTTCTGGCGAAACCCGTGATGAGATTGTTGCTCAGGTCGGCGTATTCGAGGTTAGGGAAGATAGACAGGTCGATGGACCACTCGATATGATTGAATGAGAGATCCAAATGCCTAAGGCTCTCGTACCCTGCGCCACTGTAGTCGAAACCGATAATGTAGTCGTAATCGGAGAAGCTGATCAATCTGACAATTCACAGGCCCATTCATTGCATGCAATATGTCTGGCGCATCCTGGACCGGTTCTCTGCTGCGTGGATTTCAGTGAGATTCTTCAAAGTCTGAAACCCGACGGGCAGGTGACCCTCAAACTGCAATGACACACAAGTCCCTACCAAATGTCGCTTCTAAATATTTCTCATCCTTCTCACCGAATTATTTGCCACCCACAATGCCCTGAGCGACGTGAGATTGCTCAGCGGCTTCAGCGTGCCGCTAAAGTTGTTATTGTTTATGTATAGATACTGAACCGACTTCCAGCCACTCAGTGTACTCGGTAAGGCGCCCGACAGCTGTCAATGCAAGACTATGTGGACAGAGTAATATGTGAAGCGTTACGTGTTTGTAAGTGTACGTACCGAGTTCTCATTCAACCACACTCCCCACAGTTTGCCCGCATTGCCTAGGGAGGGGGGCAATGGGCCGGAAAACTGAAACGAAGAAGAGAAAGAACCAGTCTACTAACACAAGCAGCCCTCAAACATACATTGCGTCTCTCTCGGCTATGTCTTACGCACGTTGTTGGACGACATATGCAGCTCCCGTAGGCTGTCCATGTTGCTGCCAAGCCCGTCCGGCAGCGGGCCACTGAATCGATTGTTGCTCAAATGCAACCACAGCAGCCGGCTCAGCTGAACCAGTGACTAAGGCAGTTCCCCACTCAGCTTATTGTCGCTCAGATCCAGCCAGTCCAATCGAGAAAGGGCGCCCAGGTTGTCAGGCAGCGGGCCAACGAGAGCGTGGCCACGGAGTGACAGTCTGGTCAGATTGCGGCAAGACATCACACTAACTGGAAAGCCTTGCTCCCATCGGTTGTTGGAATTTATTACTAGCACTCGTAGGCGCTGGAATCGGCCGATGTATCCAGGGATGGACACTGAGAGGCCTGTGTTCGAGAGTTGGAGAGCCTCGAGGCGCGATAGACTGAAGAGAGAGGGCGGGATGACACCACTCATCGAGGGCATCAATATCATGTACAGGCCCTTCAGATAGGGGAGCTCGCCGATAGTAGCGGGAAGCGGGCCTTCCAACTTATCCATGGTGGTGCTGTTCTGAAAAAAGCGTACACACGAACATGTGTGTGGATAAGTAATGAATGTGCTCACTAGAATGAGCTCACCTCTGCTCCCAACATGTAGATGACACGTAGAGAGGTCAGTTTGGCGATGTCATCACCCAGACTCCCCTGCATGGGCATATTATGGGCAAGAAAACATGCCATGTGCCGGAGCCGATAAAACGACGGCGAGAAGACCAAAGGCTTCTGACCTCGCCGCCACAGGATCTGCGGCACATCCGATAGCGCCATGAAATTGTCATCTGGCGTCAGAACAACCATATATCCCTCTCGTGGGCCGCCATCCGCCAGCACCTCTGTCAGCCGCACACACGTGATGAACGGCACGACGCACAGGTTGGTCTCAAAGGTGAAGATGGAGTCGTCGTCAACCAATCCAGACTCATGAGACCACTCGAACAGGGCCGCCGCATCCTCCTGACACGAATCGCACCGCTCCAGCTCCTCCATTTCGGTGTAGGGAAGGATGTTGTCGCCTCGATTCAAGCCTTCATCAGCTTGAAGCCACAAGCCGTCATCAGATTCTGGAAAAAAATAACGATCATCCACAAAGAAGGCGGCAAACCGTCGCAGGAGCTTCAGCCGCCTAGGATCACGCCATCCAGGAGGGAGGGGAGGGGATGCACTCCACGATGTGCGGACGGGCGCACGCGCCACGAGAGAGAAGAAGAGGGAGATAAAGACGACGGACGGAAGAATCACCATCGCGTGAGCAAGATGATAAGGTGACTCATTGAAGATCTCTCCATGATCCTCCAATGGCCTTCCAACGTATTATATGCAGCGCTCACGGCTCTCTCTTGCCGTTCGATGATGGCATTGACGCCAGGGCGTCTTCGACGGTCACGGAGGAAGGCATCTTCTCAGCTCCAATGGTTCGTTTCCAGAGCTGAGCTCGCAGCAATCCCCAGTCAAAACCTCGCAAAGGGCCGCCTTTGGATGGCGCGAAGCGCCAGCAAGCGAAAGGCAACTCATCCCCAAATGGCCGCCTCCTCAAGCAGCGATTCGCGCCAGAAACGTAAGCAGATCTGTACGGACAAGAAACGTCAACTGGCAGCACAGAGATGCACTCTACCCCTCCCCATTACAGGCGTACGGCAGCACACGGCGGAGGCGGACAACGGGACGCTCGACTTCGTGTCTGACCTGCGCATATGCCGCCCGCGGCACATAGTGCAGTGGCATGCGCGGTTCCAGAGGTGCGGCATGGACATGCCCAGATACGCACAGGCAGAGGTAAGGAAATCAGAGCACCATCCGAGATCAGAGGGAGGAAGCTCTTCGCTGTCTCGCTTGTGTGTCGGTTGTGTGTCATCAGGTTTTGCAGACGCTGGTGCCGAACAGTCCTCTTCCGCTGAACAAGTGTGCGTATCCCGGGAGCCGCGTGTATGGCGGGCATTTTGGCGCGGACGGGAAGCTGTTCTTCACGGCGTGCCAGGACGCCAAGATCCGCCTCTACGACAGCACCAACCCCAACAAGTTCAAGGTGGGCAGCCGGGCTGTGCTCCACGTGTGCCGGTGCTACATCTCTCTCTCTCTCTCTCTTTGTGTGTGTGTGTGTGTGTGTGTGTGTGCAGTTGTTGAAGGAGGTGGTGGCGACAGAGATGCACTGGACCATCACTGACACGGCCATCAGCCCCGACAACCAGTTCTTCGCCTACACGACCATCGCGCCATACGTGGCCATCTGCAACACCAGAGGCGAACGGGTGTTCCACGAGCTGCACAACATGGACACGCAGTGGGACGGCGGCATATGGTCGGTGCGGTTCTCTGCGAATGGCACCAAGCTGATCGCCGGGGCCAGCGATGGCTACTTCTACATCTACGACATCGAGCGCAAGAAGACCCTCGTCAAGGGCAAGGTACGTCGGCAACAGCAAAGACAACAACACACACAGCACAGCACAGCACACCCGTCGGCACCCTCCCTTTTGCTGTTCGTGCCTTGCGTGTGTGTGTGTGCAGGGTCATGAGGATGACGTCAACACGGTAGAGCTGCTGGGCAGCTCTGTCGGCCTGCTCGACAACAACGTGTTCGTCACGGGCTCGGATGACAACCTGATCAAGATATGGGACCTCCGATGCATGCCCGAGGAGGCACTCAAGGACTCCAACGACACTGAGGAGGCCCCCCAACGCAGATGGAGATTTGGGTCAGCCAGCCACTCGCACTCGATGGCTCTATGTGTGTTGACGCTCTCTCTTTCTCTCTGTTTGTGTGTGTTGTGTGTTCAGCATGCGTCGTCGCAGCAGCCTGGCGCCGCCCGTCAAGTCGGCTAAGGTGCTGGTGGGCCACACTCAGGGACTGACGTGTGTGAGGGCGCGGCCTTTCAACTCCTTCTACCTCTGCTCAAACGCTAAGGACCAGCTCCTCAAGGTCACACAGACACACACACACACACAAACACACACGAAATTGCTAGGTGGGTGGGTGGTTTGTCTGCTGTCTTTGATTGTGCGCATCCGTCAGGTGTGGGACATTCGTAAGTGCGGCAACGAGGACAAGTGCAACACCAGAGCGGCGCCCAGCTGGGACTACAGATGGCAGCAGTAAGGGTGGTCACATATCACATACACGCGAAAGGGCAACATGACCCTGTGTGTCGGTGTGTCTGTCTGTCCGTGTGTGTGACAGGTACCCGGTGAACCCCGCCCTTGCGCGTCACCGTCACAGCCACGACCAGAGTGTGCACACCTTCCTGGGCCACAGCATCCTCAAAACACTCATACGATGCAACTTCTCACCCGCCAGCACAGGCAGCAGGTCGGCACGGCACACACACACACAGACCAGCACACGACTATATACATGATCCGCGGCACTGTCACCGTGTGTGTGTTGTGTGTGTGTGCAGGTACGTGTATTCTGGCAGTGCTGACGGCCGCGTGTACATCTGGGATCTGACCACCGGCGAGCGAGTTCAGAAGCTGCACCACTCGAGACCTGGCGAACGGTACAGAGACAGACAGATACACTGCACAGCCATGCACCCATCTCACACACGACTGGGTGGACAGTATGTATGATGGATGGATGGCTTGTTCAGGAACCCGGTGCGTGACGTGAGTTGGCATCCCTACTACCCCTGCATGACCAGCGCCGCATGGGACGGACGGGTATGCAGACAGACACCGACACATGCACTGCATATCGACACACACACATCGAGAGCAACACCGGGCCATCACGTCGTGTTGTATGCAGGTGTTGTTGTGGAAGCACGTGGATAAGGCGGAGCACAAGCGGCAGCTGGCCATCAAGGAGGACAAGCGCAAGGCCACCAAGCTGGAACGCGACAGGCGGCCCCGTGGTCGCCTCAGGGGCTCTCACGGACACCTGGCGGCACTGCTCAGGCGGCTGCAGCGCTCGGGCAATGGCGAGCTGGACAGCGAGGAGGATGACAGCGACAACACACGGAGAGGCGGGGATGAGGAAAAATGGGATCACATCGACCTGGACGGGTGAGGGGTGATCAATGACCGCACAACACACCCACCACACCACACACCACACGTGTATGTATTTCATGTGTTGTTGTGCTGTGTTTGTTCCGTCAGTCGCGGGTCGCATTGGTATGTGCCCGACCTTGACGATGACGACAGGAGCTCCGACTCGGACTATGTCCCCAGTGCATCAGCGCAGAGGGCGGCCGAACAGCAAGAAGAGGAAGAGGAAGAGGACGACAACGAGGAGGAGGACAAGGATGACGACGAAGATGGTGGGCGGGTGGTGGACGAGACCGACGAGGGATGGGATGATGCCGCACCGGCACGCGGCAGGCGCCAGTCGGACCCTCTGGACGACATGCTCCAAGCCGCCTTCGGTACCCTCAACGACGTTTTGGGTGCCTTCGAGGATGAGGACAAGCACACAGAGGATAGTGAGGAGGAGGCGAGGGAGAGCCAGATGATGTGCGCTGCCGAGAAGCAGGGGGAGGGGGCTTGCTCGAACGAGAGGCGGTCGGAAGACTGATCGACAGACAGGGGCTGGGGTGGGGTGGGGTGTGATGTCTTGTGTGTGTGGGTGCGTGTGCGAGTGAAGTGAAGTTTGTGGCCAGTGTGTGAGGGTGGGTGGATAGTGGGAGTTTCTCTGTGCGGTGGGGATGCGTTGGGGACATCTTCTCTCTTCTGGGAAATGCTTCCCTTTTTGTTGGTGCTCCTCATTCACACGCCTTCATGTCTTTCGTGCTGCATGGCTTAAGAGAGAAGGACAGGAGAGCTACGTACATGTACATTACGCCCGAGAGAGAGGTTTGGCCGCGTTTTTGCCCACAGGCGTCTCTCGTGCGGGCCACCTGTCTGCTGACGTTTTCTGTTTGCATGTTCTGTGAGTCAAGACATGTGACGGCGTTTGTGGGGTGGTCCATTTCAAGCAATGCAGTGACATCTAAGTGTTCTCCACTTTGCATGCGACCGTTCTGAAGCATTGATGCGCGTATCCTTCACCCTCACGCATCATCGATGCATCTACCACAGCTACTGTACAGTTCGTGCCGCTCTCTCCAGCCATCGTTGAATGATGGATGTCACTCAGACTGAGGTCTTCACATCAGTCAGGGGAAACGGCCGAAGAAAGGCAGCTCGAAGCCGCCCTGTCCTCCCTTCTGACCGAGGCTTCCCGTCTCGACACGTTGCAGCCGCCTCATCTCTCCGACGCAATCGGCGTATGTGCGACCTGACATGACACACACGCCCAGGGATGCATGTATCCGTTTCTCCTTCAGGTAGAAATGTGTCCTCTGTTCTGCTGACCGTTGGCAGGCTGGCCCATGGCATGGAACCCCCATCGGCCGCCTCTGTCTCGCTCCATGCGTGCGATGATGAGACCTGTGGCGCCCGACAGACTGGGATCATTCAGCTGAAAGAAAGGAAGCGAGACATCATCTGCGGTGGCCATCATCGCCCGATATCGACAGAACTCGTACCACCTGATATCGACAGAACTCGCAACCGGTTTTGGGATCCATCACCCGACAGAAGGGATTGGCTACTTGCTGCACACAAACAGACACAAAGGTCAGGGATCGCAGACGTGTGAAGAGAATGTTCCTCGTGTCGTGTCTCGGCCCACTTTGAATGTCTTTCCCAGTGTGTATATATTGATGACAAAGAAGAGCGTGGCGACGTCTGGTCCGACGCGGTCCAGCCTACATGTAATCACCTCGTCATCGCCATCTCCGTCACCTGATGTGCGAGCGGGCAACGAGACGATGACCAACCGAAGAGAGAGTGGCAGATTTCGGTTCTCCTTACCTGTCAAATTGTCCCCCGAGTGAGTGATGCCGTGCTTCTTGGACTCGAGGTTGCCGAAGTAGACGGGTTCGACCACGTTGCCCTTCTCGTCCAGCAGCACACACGATGCATCCAAGTCGACCTTGCCAGAGTCAGTGTCCCATCCTACTGGTGATCCACAGGCAAACGATATCGTATCGGATGGGACATGTGCCCTTTGCACCTAATCCACTGCAAGAGAGACAGCATGCCATGTACATGCCCGTTGGTGTGAGCAGCGCTTCATGCTCGCACCATGCGATGGTTGATTGGGACGTCCCGAAAGGAACACGTCACCTGACATGCCATCCAGCATCCATCAACGAATCAACGCCGATGGTGGTTGCTCTTCTACCTTTGCTCATGGCAAACGCAAGCTTGGTCTCCTTTGCCGTTGGAATGTACGCCCGGATCTCAGTTAAGATCTTGTCCAGGATGTCCATGAAGTGAGCACCGTTGGCCGGCTGATCGATCGCTTTAAGTTTCCACTCGCTTGAGGGAGTCGGTCGATGCATAGCACACAGGATGTTTGCTGTGTGTGACCCCTTGCCACTCAAACGATACTGCAAAGGGGCACGGAAAAAGGACACATGGATGCGCGTATTCTTGAATGGATACAGACACGTCCGTGTGTGCGTTTTTTCTAAGGTGCGCTTCGTCCGGACCTGTGCGAGCCTCTTCTTCGCTGTTCCGCTCTCATCAGTGACCTCCAGCAGCCCCTCCCTCACGTCGTTGAAATTGCCTACAAGCAGAAGGAGAGAAAAGACAGCCACACGCAGATAAGATGGAGAGCTGGAGGAGCATTTGGCTGCGATTTCTCACCTCCAGAATAGCAGCAAACGACAAAAAGCAGCATCGACACCTGCAAATATATCTCGCCATCACACCAGCTGCTGTTCGTACTCACGGGCGAATACCTCGTTACCAAGACGGTCCAAGGCAACGGTTATCTGAGTCAGGGTAGGAAACAAGAACGAGATGGGCGCTTCTCTCGTTTTGCTGCTCTACCTAGTGGTATCTTCTCGTCCACGCCTTCATTCCTGCCATCTAAAGAGTCGCCTGAATGGGATAGGGCGCCTCCGAGAGCCTATGCAGGCAGCGAGTGGCGAGTGTGAAAATACATTAACTCATAGCGCAACGGCAGGCAGAGTCTGGCGGTCTCTCATGAAATGAACTGAGATTCGGCCCTCCATTTCTTGCTTGCGTTCATGTTGTTGTAATAGCAGGCGTCGATAATGCGCCCTGACGCGTCCACCGCCTACACACGCCAAGCGAGAAAGATGGAGGCAACTTTCATCATGCACCAGTGCGTGCACAGTCCAACCTACCAGGCATTGTACGTCGACATCTATCTCCCTTCCTCTGTTCCACTCCCAGCTGAGACCGAAAGAGAGCCTCTTGATGCCCCTGCCGACAGCGTAGCCTTCCTTCTTCTCCAACAGCCGGTCAAATCGGGCATCCCACTCATCTGCGGGAGTTGAGACAGGACAACACGCCATGTCGTCATGCCGTCACGGATGTCGGTCCATGAATGGCATAGAATCGTGGATGCCATCCTTTAGGAGCTCACCGAGTGAGTCACCGCTGGCCTGAGGCTTGCTGCTGGCATCGATCTGCAGGAACAAAAAGATGAGGAAACACGACACGTTCTCTGCGGAGTGTCTGGCAGTGCAGGGCGTGTGCACATATATGCAGGCCGTGTAGATACACGTGCCGTACCTTGCTGTGTATGCGTCTTGCGCTCAGCAAGGATGCGGATGATTTGGCGAAGTCGGCAGCGCTCGACGCAGGAGGGTGAAAGGCCAGCGTGTCGCATGAGCAACGATGGGCAAACGTCAGCAGACATGCTGCAAACACCACGAGCGCCAGATATGAATCCATCGTCATCATGAACAGATGCACATGGAGTGGGAGGAATGGATTAGCGTGCTTTTCACTCCCCGACACCAGCCCTATCCACTCCGGCACCAATGACCAGAGTTGATGCTCTTCGTTCGCACAAATAGATGGAAGAATCGATGCGTCTGCTGCGGTTGCCATCGTCGGCAACAGCAAGTGAGGGCAGACACCCCTGACACACACACGGCACATGAAAGATCGACCTGACGGCGGTCTCTGCGGCTGTCTGCTCCCGCCCCCTCCCCCATCCACACACATACGCGCGTACCCATTCCAGCAGATGCATGGCCGCCCTTGTGCGATGCGCTCGGACACCTCCCTCACGCCAGATCCCACCACGCCGCGCTCGTCAGTAGACCAATCCGCCACGCCCCGTCAGATTCGACTCGATGGATGGTCGGTCACACGTGTGGAAGAGATGGGCGGCCGGTCATCGCATTAGCAGCACTGTAGCGCATCGACAGACACGCAGACCATCCACGAAGGGCCACCGCTGCCGGTGACGAGAACAACACGCCGCAGAAGGTCGACAGAGGTCTGCACACAGGGAACGCACACATACACACCCCACACGAGCCGCAACGTCCGGACATCGACGCACACGTGTGTCCTACTTGCGAACCCGGAGAAGAGGACGGAGGGAGGCCGATCGCGACGGTGTATACGTATATGTCTGAGCGTACAATACACACACGCCTGCATAGAGCAATTCAACGCACACAGAGAGCCAAGATGAGCACAGACGCTGTGAACGAGTGAATGAGTACGTACACGTGTACACACACACGCAGACGAGCGCATCGCAGGCCAGTCGCACGCCCAGCACGCCGCAGTACACATACAGATACATCACTCGAGTGTGCGCACCTCGTTTGTTCTCCTCGCCTTCGGTGACGACCGTGACGCACCCCTCGACGCGTAGACGAACCCTGTACACACACAACGAAGCAAAACACAATGAAATCGTCTGATCTCGGATCTTGCTCATTGTTTACTTGTGGCCATTGTTTCTCTCGATTGCCGTTGGGTTGCTTCCATCGTTTGGACTCTCTGTCGCTCTGACACCATCCTGTACACATCACCCAACACAATCACACCGTTCACAAGCAAAATCAGCCACCGCTTGGCCATGCTTTGCCGCCCTCTCACCTGTGACTGTCTGCCACCCTCTCCGCCGCCATGTGAAGCAACCGCCGCCCCTGCCCTTCGCCGCCCATCACTCTGCTTGTCCCAGCGATGCGTTTCGGCTCGTGAGCGTTGTTCCATCGGCCTGATACACACAGACAAAGCAGTGCAAGTGACGAGAAGGCTCTCGGGCGGGGAGATACACATAGTACACATACAAACACACTTCATGAGAGCTCTTTGAGTGTCTGCCCGTCACGTTAGCCACCCTCCCGTACAGTGAAAGAGTGAGTGACTACCTTTGCAATGCAATGGCTCTCAGGAGCTTGCTGACGCCTCTCGCTCCACCCTCTGACAGCCTCCTCGTGCCGTGTTGGTGGCTGACAGTCACTTTGCGAGTCTTGGCTGGCTTGAGCGGCCGATGCCAGCCGGTCATCTGCTCGTCACTGTCGACTCATCCAATGCATCTCCGCCCCTCTGCATATGAATGAGAGCCTATCAAACAGTGATGAACCAGCCTCACTCCTGCCGTGTTTGTTTGTTTGTTTGCCTCAGATGAAGGTCTCGAGATCAGCGCGTGACGATCTTGGCCAAAAGTCGCGTTTAGATGCACCTGCAAAGTGTGGTGCATTCTCTGCCAGCATCGTTTGGCAATCTTAGCATCTGATAGCCCCGCCCTCGGCCCTCAGCAAGTGATAATAGGCCCTCCTTGCCCTCACCACCACAACCACCCACGCCACAATGGCACGCAAGCGCCACCCCCACGAGGAGTTGTGGGTTAAAGTAGCCATCCGCCGCCTCAAAAGCCGGCACAAGCGCAGCCCAAGCGAGAGGCCGCTCAGAAAGGCCGACCTCCAGCGCATCAAGTTCGAGGGTTTTGATGGCTACATGGAGGTGTTCGGCTACCTCCTCCACTTCAGCGCCCGGCATCACGAGACGAACGAGCACGTAAGGCATGCATCCGTGGCAGACGGGCAGTGATTCAATGTGAGCGCGATGCATGCATCTCTTCACTCCACCATTGGTGTGTGTCGGCAGTACACCATCCTGCTTGACTACGTTATCCCGCGGGTGCTCCGCTACCTGAACCTGACCAACGGGCAGTGCCGGATGAATAAGCACTGGAATATTTTGTGGCTCTTCACCGACATAATCATCATCATCTGCAAGCTCTGCCCAAAGTAAGGCGATGGGTAACACACCTGATCTGATGGATGGATGGATGTGCGGTATCCTGGCCATTCTGACACATGTGACGTATTGCTTGGCGTCTTCGTTACTTATGTGCTTGTCAGGTTTAAGTGGTGTATCATCATCTGGTGTCAGGTCGTCGTGGTGCCCATCTGCCAGCTGATCAGGGCGACCGGCCGTCAGCCTCGCATCGTTGACGGCCGGGTCAACCTGTATCAGCAGCACGGCAGATGGTACATCCAGATGGAGAGCGGCGCCCCCTTCCTCATCCCTGAGCGCTTCGGCACCGCCGCCGAGATCCACGAGCTGGATCAGGATGAGGAGGAGGCGCTGCGCGGCTCCGATCGCGGCGACCGCGACGACAGCGAGGCTGCTGCTGCTGAGGAGGCCGGGTGGGGGGAGCGGATCGACAGCGTCAAGGCCGCCATCATGCGCAGCCATGTCAACAAGGCCACCTACCGCCCCTTCCTGCTCGACCTTCTGGATAGCGATGACGAGCTGCACCCGTAAGCAAGAGACAGGAGACAAACGACTTTCTTTTTCCACCATTGATCCATCCATGTGTGTCGCGCTGGTCTGTACTTCAGGTTCCAGTGGTCTGAGGAGGTCCAGGCCGAGTCGTACCTCATCACTGATCCTGACGAGTGTCTCGGCTTGCTGCCGGCGCTCTTCGGGATCAGTGATGACAGCGGCTCCGTGCCGGCTGGCTGGGACCTCTCGGCCGACAACCTCCAGACCATCATGGGCGAGTGGGAGCAGGAGAACCCCCTGCCCGACGATGACGAGGATGACGACGAGTGGGTGGATGAGGACGAGGAGGCCCGCGCCATCGAGAGGCGCATCCGCCACGCCATGCGGCACAACCGCAACACCCACACGCGCGGCCACCTCCGACTCTCCGACACCCACCTGTTGGCTGCGGTAACAAATGTAGATCTCGCCGGGCGATGCGGACGGCGACTTGTCACAGACACTGTCAGACTGAGTTCTGCTGCCCTTCGCCCTGCAGTCCATCCACGTGAGAGACAGACAGACAGACAGACAGGGAAATTCTCTCCGCCGCATCCGGGCTGCGTACCTCCGGTGGCAGCAGCAGAGCAGTGCCGCCGTCGTGACGACCGCACAGAGAGTGACCACCCACCCAACCTGACATCGATGGGTACTCACACGCGAAGTATGGTTACTCACTCACCAGTGTGTTGTTCTTGTCGCCTCTCTGCACGATGGCCGGTGGCGCTGGCAGCACATTGCCGGTCGAAATTGATGCGGGCGAGGCCGCCGCACACTCATCCTCGCTGATTTCCATGACGGTGAGGAGCGCCTCGCATACTGACTCCTTGGGCGGGCTGGCGGCAGCGGCATCGGCGCGAGACATGAGGCCGCGGAAGAGCCGCCACGACGCGACCAGGCTGATAGTGTGAGTGTTGGTGTGGGTGGTGTGTGGTTCGATGACAAGGCCGACGGACAGCACGCCACCATCACCTGCACAAACACAAGACAAGACAATCAATGAAACGAAGCACAGACACACACACGGTGATGGTGTCTCGTCTCGCTCACCTCGTTGAGTGTTTGTCGGCAGTGCCATGAGAGTCACTCTGTGCTGGTGCTTGACGGCCACCACCACACCACCCCGACGACTCACCAGCAGGTCGGCCTGCCCAATGCTGTTTGTTCCCTCTCGGCCAAACGCCCTCACCATCGTCGCTTCACGACACTGTGGTGGTCCTCGTGCGTGCGTGGTGCAGACACACAGCCGCGGGGTGTCGTCGGGCGGTGGATGCTGTAAGTGTGGTGCCGATATGGTCAGGCGGACGAGCTGATGTCCCGACCGCTCATTCACCACCACCAAACGCGACATAACCGACCGCAATAACGACAGCAGTAAGGCAAGGAAAATCGGCATCTCTGTCACAGAGGCTCACTTGACAAGCGGCGGAGAACCTGTATACAGACTGACATGCTGAACGATACGTACAGGTTCTTTTTGTGTACACAAGTGGACGAACGAGGGACATGGCACAATCGAAGCATGAACACTTCATTCTCAGACAGGTCCAAATGATGCAAGTTTCACCTCTCGTCCGTCCATCGCTGTCAGCGCCTCACCCCCTCCCTCCCACGTCGCACGCAAAACTGGATCAAATCGACGAATCGATAGAAAAATCACCCAGCAGCCGCCCACCACCCAGTCAGTCAGCCCATCTATCAACACCACAAGGCACGGCTGGCTCTGCATTCACTCACGACTTGGACTGCACCCTTGCAGTGATGAATGCCGTCACGAGGGCCACGCCGGGCAGGATGACTGCCAGAGGGACGAACAGGAAGGTCTGCAGCGCCACGGAAGTGACCGAGTCGTCAGGCAGGTACAGCAGCTGGCCCACACCGCCGGCAAACGAGGCGATGGAGAGTAGCACAAACACAAACCACGGGGTGGAGAGGACAGCGGATGCCACAGGGAGGAGTCCTGGCGCGGCCTCGAGCAGGGCAGGAAGCGCAGGGACAATCTGCAACGTCAACACAACCACACCGCATTCATGCTGGGATGTTGTCTTGCCAGATCCCGCCTGTTTGGCTGATGGCATGCCTTCATCTCTCTCCCTCACACCCTTATTCACCTTCGGAGCGACCTCCTCCAGCCCATACAGGGCGTATTGTTCGTCCACGACCTTAAGCAGGGGCTCAATCTGGCTCAAAGTCAGTCCCGCCTTCTCTGCCTTGGACAGCAGCCCCGCCTCCGCCAGCTTGGACAGCAGCTGCAGCTCCTCTGTGCGCTTCAACACCCGCGGCACAACATCCTCATACTCGTCAGCTGCCACTTGCCGTCGCGTGGCCGGCGATGCCACGGATCTTCTAGAGTGCAGCAGGGCGGGCACTGGGGAGGCAGTGAAGGCATGAGAGATGGGGAGAAGGGCTGCCGCCAGGCCGACGATGAAAGCGGGAACAAAGATCATGTCGAGGCAAAAAGGTGAGCAAGGCCGATGTTCTCGTCCTCCTGCCTCCCTTGTCGCCTGCTGCTCCCTTCTGGCTCTGCGAGCTAAGCCAAAGATCAGATCCAAGCTCGCAATTTTCCCGCTCCGGATTTGGCTTCGCTCCTGCGTGCATCACAGTCACGTCGCTGTGCTCTGTCTGCTGCCACGCTTTCCAGCTAAGGTGAGATCCGACACCAGCGAATCGCGCATCGCTGAGACTCACTGTTGTGCTGTTGCGTGTCGCTTGCCTCAGGTGTGGTGCAGTCGTGCTCCGCTCGCGATTCGGCTTTGGCGTGAAGTGTGACAGAGATCAGATCTAGCGGATCAGCGTGCTGCGATGGACCCGCAGAACAACGCGAATGAGACAGAGGAGCTCGACGACTATGAGGAGGACGAGCAGGGCCAGACCGAGGCCAAAAACGGCACAGAGGGCGGTGTCGAGAAGGCGGGATACGTCGGGGTGCACGCGACGGGGTTCAAGGACTTCTTCCTGAGGGAGGAGTTGCTGCGGGCCATCAACGACGCGGGCTTCGAGCACCCGTCGGAGGTGCAGCACGAGTGCATCCCGCACGCCGTGGCCAACAAGGACATCCTCTGCCAGGCCAAGTCAGGCATGGGCAAGACCGCCGTCTTCGTCATCGGCATCCTCCACGCCTCATGGGACATCGTCCAGAACAAGGACACCGCCGACGCCAGCAAGAACCAGGTCACGGCCCTCGTCCTGGCACACACGCGGGAGCTGGCTTACCAGATCAAGAACGAGTTCGAGCGGTTCGGCAAGTTCGCACAGGGCCTCAGGATCGACGTGGTCAGTGAGTGACACACAGACAGACTTGCAGATAGGCAGACAGACAGACAGACAGACATACACACACACACACACACACAGAGAGAGAGAGAGAGATGTACGGTGTTGATTCATGTGAGGACACAAACGTGTGTGTGTGTGTGTTTTTGTGTGTGTGCAGTTCTATGGCGGCGTGCCGATCGAGCAGCACAAGACCATCCTGAAGGACGACAGCAAGCGGCCGCACATCCTGATCGGCACTCCCGGGCGGATCAACCAGCTGATTCGCGAGAAGCACCTCAACGTGGACCACCTCAAGTACTTCGTGTTGGACGAGTGCGACAAGTGCCTGGACAAGCTGGACATGCGCAAGGACGTGCAGAACATCTTCATCGCGACCCCGCAGGAGAAGCAGGTCATGATGTTCAGCGCCACCCTCAAGGGCGACATCCGGGACGTCTGCCGCAAGTTCATGCGCAACCCGGTCGAGATCTTCATCGACGACGAGAGCAAGCTGACGCTGCACGGCCTGCTGCAGTACTACGTGCAGCTGACCGAGAGCGAGAAGAACAGGAAGCTCAACGACCTGCTCGACAACCTCGAGTTCAACCAGGTCATCATCTTCGTCAAGAGCGTCTCGCGCGCCAAGGCACTCAACAAGCTCCTCACCGAGTGCAACTTCCCCTCCACCGTCATACACTCCGACATGAAGCAGGAGGAGCGCATCAAGAGGTACACCGAGTTCAAGAAATTCGAGAAACGCATCCTCGTCTCGACCGACCTCATGGGTAATGCGCAGGATGCTGCCACACACACCGTCACAGACACCGGGGACGACACACATGTGGCCATATCTGCATCTGCACGTCACACCCGGCCGCCCCTGTGCGTGTTGTTAGGTCGCGGCATCGACATCGAGCGCGTCAACATCGTGGTCAACTACGACATGCCTGACGACAGCAACCAGTACCTGCACAGGGTGGGGAGGGCAGGGCGGTTCGGCACCAAGGGCCTGGCGGTGTCGTTCACATCCACCGAGGCCGACACGGCCATGCTCAACGAGATCCAGGCCAGGTTCGAGGTCAAGATCGGCCCCATGCCCGACAAAATCGACACACACTCATACATCAGCAGCTAGAGGGCCGGCCACCACCGGGGACAGGGGGGGAGGGGAGGGTGGTTTGGTTGCCCATCTGTCTGTCTGTCTGCCTGTCTGTCTGTCTCTGTCTCGCCTGACCGTCTTGCTCACATGTCTGCCTGCCTGCCAGCCAGCCTGGCTTGGTGCGTGTGTTGGGTATGTAAAGGGGGTGAGAGGTTCGAGGCGGGTCGGTCTGTGTGTGTCTGTCTGAAGGTGTCTGGCTGTCACAATGAGGGAGTGAGTTAGGGAGTGAGGGAGTGCGTGAGGGAGGGAGGGAAGGAAGAGGCAAGGCTGTCAGACACACCGCATTTATTCCCCTCTCCTTCCCTTCGTCGCTCTTGTCTTCTCTATCACGGTCGGCCTGCCTGCCTGGTCGTGCACCTGCGATGGTTTTCGTTTTATTTTCGCGGTGTTGCCCTCCCCTCCCGCTTTGTCTTTGTTGGTTCCGCAAGGGCGCGGGCGAAGGCAACCATGCAACGCGATGCGTGTGTATCTGTGTGTTTGTGTGTCCCCTCACTCTGTGCACTCTGTGAGGTCTCTCACGCTCTCCTTCCCTCCCCTGCAATTAAACGAGGGAGCGAGTGACAGACAGACAGACAGACAGACAGGTGGGTGGGCGGGCGGCTGTCAATGCAACCACCTGATCGATCGATGGCATGTTTAAGCACATCCATGGCTGGGGCAGGGGTGGGTGCGTGGTGGGGTTGCGAGCGAGCGAGTGAGCGAGCGACTACTTTGAGTGAGCAGTCAATTTTCGGGTGTACTTACTTGCCTAATGAATGGTGCCTGGTGGTGGGTGGACGTGAGTGACCTAGGTGGGTAATGGAGACGCTGACCATACATGACGTCATGACATGGATGTGATGGATTCACTGCATTGAATGCATTGCGCTGCGTGTGTGGTGTGAGTGAGTGAGTGACACTGTCGCTTTTAATCAATCATGATTTTGCCGCAGAAAGCAGTCCGGCATGACTGAATTGCAATTGCTGCGTTCTCACCATCCCTCACTGTCAGTCAGGCCGGACAAGCATAGGTGTCAACGCACACACACACACACATGCACAACATGCACGGACGCGATTAGCGGGTCGTGGACCTCTCTCGCTCCATCTGTATCGATACCTACCGGTCAATCCATCCAGTGGTAGTGGTAGAGGATGGACAAGACAGATTGGAGAGGCCTCGCTGCCTCGGGGCACTGATCAATCACAGAGACATACACACACACATACACACGTATACACACATATACACACATACACACACGCGGAAAGCTGAATTGCATGCAATAGACGATCAAGTCGGTCAGGCAGGTAGGCTATATAAGAAGTAATTATGCACACGCACACAGGGCAGTGCTCACAAGCCTATGACTTAAAAATACATTGACATATGAGTGAAGGTCATGTCGAATTACATATCACTTCGTTCGTCGTATTGCGATCTGTCTTAATTGTCCGTATAGCCCCTGTGCTCGTCAAAACCCAGGACACATATAGTGCACTAGGTGCCATCCATCTAATTACACATTTAATTGGTCACATGGGCATGTGTGGTAGGCACAAACAGGTGCTGCTCCACAGGCAGCCGCCTCTCGGTGTGGGCGTAGAACTGCACGCCGAGGCCCTTGCAGTGGTCCGGCGTGTCCACACCCACCATGACCTTGGGAATGGCGTACGCAGCCACCAGCACCGCCAATGGGAAGAGCACCGCCGCCACGGGGAAACACTTGCGGCAGACGCCTTCCCCCTCCCCCCTGCTGAGGCCGCGTGTCGTCGTCACCGCCCATATCACCATGATCAGCGAGCCGCCTTGCTCACGGCCGCTCTCGAGGGCAAAGTCGAACCAAGAAGACACGGGAGCGCTGTAGGAGGTCAGGGCGAGAAGAGATAAGGCAGAGATGAGGCCCACATCCGAGAGCATCCGGGCGGGCCCGTCCAACCGGGCCATCCGGAGCACACACGCGAGAGCCGCAGTGCTGTAGAGAGCCATCCACATTGCGCCATCGGGGTCATTACCCTGGACGTAGCCGGCGTAGATAAAGAACAGCAGCATCAGGCTGTGTGCCAGGGCAGACGAGGAAGGGATGGAGAGGGATGGGGAGGCGAGGGAGTGCTTGCGGCTCTCCTGCGAGGATACCAGGCGGCCGCCGGCCGATGGCAAGGTCTCCATCACGGACAACCGCGGGGCTGTGAGTCGTTTGTGCTGGTACGCTTCACTGCGGCAGACAGCAGCCAAGGCACACCAAAAGAGCCCCGTAGAAAGAGCCGGCCCGCCCACTCAACGGCAGCCCAACGGTAAAGGGCGATCGCGAGCTCTCCCCTCCCTCCCTCCCCTCCCGGGTGAGATGGACGAGCCCACATCATGCGCGGCTCTTCCCTTCTCCTGCCCTGCCAACAAAGACGAATCGCCTCAGAGTCGCCCAGACAGCATCGGCTCTCTCAGGACCGTCCCCGCGTGCTCGCTGCAGACATCCACATCACGGGAGAGCACCTCATCATGGGACCACTTTGCCTCATACTTCGGATTCGGTGAGGCGGGGGAGACCTCCAACTCATCATCGACCCGCAGTGAGGGCAAGGATGACTCATCCCCCGGGCGAGAGGGGCCTCCCAACGCCATAAAGGACATCGATATGGACGACCGGGCGCAGTGGAGTGAGCTGTACTTCAAGCTTATGTCATCGACGGGCGATGGCTCGGCATCGAGCCCGTCTTCTTCCTCTGGTGCAACGGCTGATGTGTCGGGAGGCCCGGAGATGGATCTGGAGGCGATGCAGAGCACGCTGCAGCTGCAGTTCGGCTCGGCGGCTCGATGGCTGATCCGAAGTGCAGGCGGCACTGTGGTGAGAGGAGGGGGAAGGATCGGAACGCAGGATTGGTATATGTGTGTGTGTGTGTTCAGGCTCGTGTGCCGCTGGCCATGTATTATGCATTGCGTGCCAACGCATCGACCATCAACAAGTGAGTGGGCGACATACATTTCACTTGCTGACCAGTCAGCGAGGTGTGTTTGTGTTTGCAGAGTGATGCTGGCGCTGGCTCTGCTCTATTTCTGTGCGCCACTTGACCTGGTGCCGGACTTCATTCTCGGGGCTGGTACGTGAGCGGACGGGGCAGCTAGCTAGGCCAGCTTTGCTGCGCCTGCTTGCCTTGAACGTGGTCAGGTCCCGTGTGTATGTGTGTGCAGGTCTGATTGACGACTTGGCTGTGCTGGGGACCGTTTACGCGGCCAACTCAAACGTGATCAATGACGAGCACTTCGCGGAGGTGGGTCCACGGGGTGGGAGGAAACCGAACCCAAGTCACACACGGTAGCCGTATGGAATGGACTTGTGTGTCCGTGCATTCAGGCTGATGAGTTCATTCGCGAGGCGCTCGAGGACAAGGACGACTTCCAGGATGTACAAGAGGGACCGGCCGACTCGACAACGGCTGCTGTCAGCTCGGACCAAGACACAGGAGGTGATGCCATTTGCTGTGGTGAGGGCGGGGAGACCCCTGTGGCTGCGGGCGAGACAGACTGCCCGGCAGAAGAGTTCAAGACGCCCCCGGGGAGCCCTGCAGGAGAGAAGAGTGACGACGCGTCACCCATCACAGACACTGTGAAGTGAATGAGTGAGTGGCACTGGTGTTTGTGGCTGTTCCTTGTCATGGGTGAAAGGGATAGGGCGGTTTGACTGAGCTTGCTGTATCTATCTATCTGTCACAGTTGGCGCAGTACGCGACGGGTCAAGGACAACGACGGGTGCGTAGTGAGCGACTCGAGTGGGTAGACTAAACCCCAATTCCGCTTGACTTGCTTCGCATGCTTGGGTGTCCTTGACTCTGTCGTGTCGATGTGCTGCCTGCGGGTGTGGTTGAATGCCATACAGTACATGACCTCGCTAAGCTTACGGGCATGATCGATCATGAATGGTCTGTGGTCTCAGACAGTTCATGGCCATGCACTCCTCCTGGCATGCAGCCAGGAGGGACAGAACAGACCTGCACCCATCTACGTGGAGCATGCGACGGGAAGCCCATTGAGTTCGATCACGCCATCGCTCCGTTCAGGTGGTGGCGCAAATGCCATTTCGTCTCGATGGACCAACGAGGGCAGCCCGAAGGTGGCGTTGATGGCACGGCTGATGGCGTTCTGACCAGACGGAATCACCACTGCGTCCTTCTCAACTGCCGCGTGAACGCGGTCAGCTGATCATGCACACACATCCATTGTGTGTGTGTGTGTGTGTGTCTCAGATGTTCCTTACGTGTGCCCTGGTGGATTTCCTGAGATACGCTGACGACGTTGGGCTCGACATAGCTGCGCTTGTTGCCGATGTGGACGCAGAAGGTCAGCGACACCAGGAAGAGGCCCGCCAGGCAAACTGAGAGGAACACCGCCAGATCTGTTTCGCCAAGTGACAACGCCGGCCTGTCACAGACAGATGTGACATGAGAGTGTGTTGTGACACTGTGTGTGGAGCCGGCTGTACTTGGCAAGGACGGCGACAGCCAGGAGCACCATCCTGCGTGAGAGAGAGAGAGAGAGAGATGTGGTGTGTCCATGTGTCCATGTCTCTGTGTGTGCGTACCATGACATGACGGGGATCTCCACGAGTGACGTCAGGAAGGCGAGCAGACTCACTGACAGATACGACGCGAACGAGAAGCGACACGGCTGTGTCGGCTTGGCGATGAACATGTTGTCGTTGCTGACATGTAGATGGACACGCACACAGAGAGACATGACACGGCCGTCTATCTGCCAGCGTCCCATCGCTGACTGGCTGATTCACGTACGTGTGGAAGCGGTGTTTCGTTCCCCAGTAGCTGATTGCCGCACTGCTCACGCCCCGCCGAGAGAGGTCGGCCATGGTGAGTTTGTCGTATCGGTGCCAGACGTTGGTTTGGCGGAGTGCGAGAATGATGAGCAGCGTCGTCATCAGGATGAACGTCACCATGACCGCAAACACAAAGTAGTGCACCGACTCGAACACTGAATACACACGTAGACATGTCTCTCTCCCTCTCTGTCGTCTCTGTGTGTGTGTGCTGACTCACGTTCGAACATTTTTGTAATGGCCAGTTCCTTGGGCTCGTGGTGTGACGTCAGCTCGCGGACGGCGGTGGCCTCGATGCGGTCGATGCCGAAGAGGCTGTCGTTGATGGCCTTGACAATGCCCCACCGAACCGCAGAGAACAGCAGCAACGCTATGAAGCCCAAAATGGTCAACTCCTGCACTCATCCACACACACGCAGAGAGAGAGAGAGAGAAACCGGTGAATGTGTGTGGTTGGACGGGCGTGTTGCGTGTCTGTGGTTACCCGTGTGGCAGCCTGAACCATCTTGAGGATCTGCTTGTGCTCCGGCGAGTCGAGGGAGCGAACCAGACGATGGTGACCAAACTCCCCCCCACACACACACACAGAGAGAGAGAGAGAGGGACAGCACTCTTTCGCCAAACCTGCCTGCGTGCCTGTCCGCCGCCCCTATCATGAGACAGACGTAGCAACGAACGAGGCAAAAGGGCAAAGAGGCAAAACAAAAGAGGCAAAAGTCTTTAGTGCCGACAGGCCATCTTCGAAGCCCCACAGTGCATGAAAAGACAGCCACGCAAAGACGCGCCGTCGTCTGTCTTTCTTCCAAGTCGTGCCATGCTGTGCCGTGCAAAAGAGCGTACATACCTGATCTCTGTGACAAGACTCTCATGCCCTCATCGAGGCAGTCAGGTGTCCTCGAAAGAATGAACGACTCCCAGGTGCAAGGTGTGAGGCGCGTCGTTCGTCGTTCCCGTGACGAGATCTCCATAATTTAAATGCGGGCACCACACGCACAGAGGAGCCTAAGCGTGCAGTGCCCGTGCAGCCATCGTGTGCAGATCTCTGCGAGAAGGCACGCACAGGCTCAGGCTCGAGCTCTCACATAGATCTCTCCTATGCGCTCCCTCCTGCACACACACAGAAGAGGAGACGAGAGGGGAGAGGGAGAGAGAAGCAAAGGAACACCCCGTCGAAGGATGCGAGCTAATCCGAAGAGGACGAGATCAGCTCGCAAGGATCCTGCTCCAGCCGCGTTGACTCCCACTCATCCCCACTCGCAGATCTGTCCAGCAGAGGAGTCTTCAGATCTGTCGATTTCCCTCATCATCACTTTCCCCATCTCTGACGTTCATCTGTCTGTCGTGCATCAGCAGCAGCCACCTGCCTGTAGTGTAGATAGCTCTGTCTATGCCTGAAGACGTCGCTCACCTGCTGCCGACGAGCGGCGAGCCACCTCTGCTGCACGAGATCTTCGAAAGATCCGCCGCTGCTCATCCTGACAACGTGGCGGTGGAGGTGCGCAGAACCGACCGATGCACACACCACACACATTGCTGGCACACAGAATGATACGAAGGTTGATCCACAAGTGTGTTGACATCTGTCTGCATGGTGATTGTGTCTGTCCCTCTGTTATGTTGTGTTGTGTTGTGTGCAGTGTGAAGAGGATGACATCCGGTGGACCTATGCGGAGCTGGAGGAGACTGCCAACGTCCTTGCGCGTATCATCCGCAGCTGCCACGTGCTCCCCGACGACCTGTGCGGGGTGTTCCTCCCCCGCGGCGCCCACTTCTACCTCTGCATGCTGTCAATACTCAAGGCTGGAGGAGCCTACGTCAGCATCGACCCTGAGTACCCGCCTGAGCGGGTGCAGTCGACTCTCGAGGACGGCAAGGCCAAGCTGGTGCTGACCAGCGACGACCTGGTGCCTGTGGTGGAGGCCATGGGGGGTGTGGTGCCGCCGGATCTGGTCACCGACCTGTCGATGCTGACAAGCTGGGCTGCTGAGGGCGTCGAGCCGGGCGCCACGATTGTCCTTACCGCCACCAAATGGGGGTAAGCGAACGATGAACACCCCCCTGCCCTCCTGCTCGGCACACACGCACAGGTCTCACATATGTGTTGTGTGTCTGTGTGTGGCTGTGGACAGGTCGCTGATGGACTCTGAGATGATCTCGGCTTTGCCGCTCAGCCCGTCAGAGGTGGGCGTCGAGCCGCGTCACGCGTGCTACGCCATCTTCACCAGCGGCAGCACAGGGCGGCCCAAGGGCGTCTGTATCGAGCACCGATGCGCCTCAAACTTCGTGCTCGCCGAGCAAATGTCCTTCCCCACCACCTCAGAAGACAGGTACACACACGCACACACACACACAGGCACGGAGAGCCTGACCCATCAACACACCCTTCCTTGTGGGCGTTGGCTCAGGGTGCTGCAAGGCTTCTCGACGTCGTTTGACGCCAGTGTGGAGGAGATCTGGCTGGCCTTTGCGGCGGGAGCCACACTGGTGGTGGGCACGAAGGAGACCATGAGGCAGGGGCCCGCCCTGGGGGCGGTGCTGGCCAAGAAGGGCATCACTGTCTTCTCCACTGTGCCCACGGTACGCCACCCTGCGATCATCCACACACCCATCAGTCCGTTGTCTCACGGCTCTGTGTGCGTGTGTGTGTGTGTGTGTGTGCAGGTGCTGCGTTTGGTTGAGGATATCCCGGCGCCTCCTCTGCTTCGGATCGTCATCACCGGCGGCGAGGCGTGCCCTCCAGAGGTCGTGGACAAGTGGGATGCACCAGGCAGACAGTTGCTCAACACATACGGTAGGGGCACACACATAAACACACACACACACACACACACACACAGACAGCCACAAACACGTCCATTTTCTGTGTCAGGTCCGACAGAGGCTACGGTGGTGGCCACCTACGACACGCTCACGTCTGGCAAGCCCGTCACGATCGGCAAGCCCCTCCCAGGCTACTCGTGCTACATCGTCGACGAGCAGGGCGCCCTCTGCCCACCGGGCAAACCAGGCGAGCTGCTCATCGGCGGCATGTCCGTCGCCCGTGGCTACATCAACCGCCCCGACCTCAACCCTGAGAAATTCATACCTGACAAGTACAGTCCCCCGATGCCCAACTGGCTGCAGCTGGCCGGCAACATTGGCAAGGCCAGCAGCAAGGGCAACAGCAACGACGACATCACCACACGCGCGCCGGAGACGCCGCGAGCCGAGGCTGAGGAGACCTGGGTTGAGGTGGATGGCATGAGTGTCAACACGGACGTGATGAGCAAGGTGGCGGTGAGCCCGACGTATTCGGGCCGGGTGCGGCCGGAGCTGATCAGGAGGGAGGAGGGGCCCTTTGGATATGTCCCACGGTGGGTGGGGTAGGGTAGGGAGGTGGACGGGTGTCTTCAGCGCAAGCGAATCGCACCCATGAGTACGTGTGTGTGTGTGTGTGTGTGAATGGGTGCAGGTTGTATCGGACAGGTGACTTGGTGCAGTGGTCACCCAACCACGACATTGAGTTCCTGGGACGCATCGACTCACAGGTGGGTGGCACAGGCCACTCTGAGTCTACTGCACTGCGCATGTGTGTGTGTTCTTGCTTGTTGTCCTTCGCAAACACAGGTCAAGATCCGGGGCTTCCGTGTGGAGCTGTCGGAGATCGAGTCAGCCCTCGGCCGCCACCCGCCCGTCGCCAACGTGTGCGTCATCGTGCGACAGGACATCGGCAAAGGCGGCGCCAAAACGTAACCGAACGCTCACACACACACACAAATGCACAACCACAAGACCCCAGCACTCCCCCTCCCTCCCACCATGCCATGCACACAGGCTGGTCGCATACCTCGAGCCCAAGAAGGAGGACTCACCCGACACAGATCCCTCCACCCTCACCCCCGACGCCCTCCGCGCCCACGCGGCCTCCATCTTGCCCGACTACATGGTGCCCGCCCGGTACGTCCTGCTCGACGCCATTCCCATCTCACCCACTGGCAAGGTGGACAGGAAGGCGCTCGAGAAGATGCCCACGCCGGGCAGCGAGACCGCACCGGGCAGTGGTGCCGGTGGGGGGCCGGGGAACGAGTACCTTGAGCCTGAGGGAGTCCTGGAAACGACGCTCGCTGAGCTGTTCTCGGACGTGAGAGGGAGGGAGGGAGGGAGGGAGCGAGAGTGTTGTGAGAGGGTGTGATGTGTAGGGGTGCGGGGATTTCTCTCTGTGTGTGAGTGCAGGTGTTGAATGTGGAGAGGGTCGGCGCCGAAGACGACTTCTTCCAACTGGGAGGCAACTCGCTCAGCGCCGCACAGGTAGGTACCTGCCCGGGCACCTACCCACTCTCGCACAACCACACCACACCACACCGCATCACACGACCACATGCACAGTCCCTCGTGTGTCGATCGTCAGTTCATCTCCGCCCTGCGCAAGAAGATCCGGATGGTTCCCACGGCCGTCCGCGACCTCTACGACGCCCGGACAGTCCGCAAGCTCGCCACCAACATCACCGACACATGCAGGGCCGAGGGGGTGCCTTTGCGGCTGCCCCGGGCGCGTGTGTTCACCCACACACCACCACAGACGCCGCTGGGCCGCCTGGCGACACGATTTGCGACGGGTCTTAAGTCGATCAAGTCAAGATTGCAGACACAAACCGAATCAGGCGGGGTAGGAACGAGATGAGTGTGGTGGTGTGTGATGGACCTTTGTCCTCATGGACATGTGTGGCTGTGTTGTCTTGTGCTATCAGGCCCCGGCTCTGACGCGCTGGACGGTGTGGTTCCTGCAGGGTGTGTTCCTGCTCTTCCTGTCGGCCTTCGCGGCGCTGTGGGTGGCGGCCGGGCTGTGGGCGATCGAGGAGACTTTGGACCAGTACTCCGTCACATACGTCATCTTCACATTCCCCGCGTGGACGATCGTGTCATGGGCCGTGTGGGTGCTGGTGTCCGTCGCCGTCAAGTGGATCGTCCTCGGCAAAGTGGTGCCCGGAGAACACCCTCTGTAAGGAAGAGAGACAGACGAGAGAGAGAGAGGGAGAGAGAGGGAAGGAGCGGTTCTTTGACATGTCTTGTGTTGTCTGTGAATGAATGAGTAGGTGGGGCTGGTACTTCCTGAGGTGGTGGATCGTCGAGACCTGGGGCGCCCCCCTGGCCATGTTCTCGGGCACCCCAGTGCTGTCGTGGGTGCTGCGGCTGTATGGCGTCAAGGTCGGCCGCAACGTGCACATCGCCTCCACGCTCGTGTCGGGCTATGACCTCCTGACACTCGATGACGATGTGGTGAGCAGAGAGAGAGGAAGGGGATGGATGGCCGCATTCTACATGGACAACCACTCACCTCTGTGTGGGTGTGGGTGTGCAGGTGATCAATGTGGGTGCTCGGGTGTCATGCTGGGAGGTCGAGGACGGGAAGCTGAGGCTTGGAACGGTGAAACTAGGCCGAGGCGCTGTGCTCGGACAGCGAAGGTGAGACCACAGCCCCACACACGCACGCACACACACCACCACCACCCCTCTCTCTGCGTTGCTGCCCCCCAGTGGCGTGAACCTCAACACGGAGATTGGCGACGGCGGCTCCATCGGCAACCTCGCCGTCCTCCATTCTGGCCAAAAAGTCCCCGCATCAGCACACTGGGAGGGAGCACCTGCAAGGGGTTCCAACAGAGTGGCCATCCCCACCAAGTCATCCGTCAAGAAGACCCACGACGACAGCAATGCTGCCAACGTCCGCACGCCAAAGCGGCACCTCACCATCGCCATCGACGTCGAGGACGACAGGGTCGAGCACAGACGTGTGGGCGCCGCCACCCTCGCCATGTTCTGCTTTGGCGTGCTCCTCGGCTACTACGTGATCTTCCTCGCCCTTGGGGTGCCCCTGATGGCCTGGCTCTGGGCAACGACCGAGGCCGTGCGTGTGTCGACCAATGAGGGGTTCTCTGTGGGAGCTGCGTGGGCGCCGGTGCTGGTGGTGGGCGGGCTGCTGTGGTACCTGCTGTTCACGGTGGTGCTCAAGTGGGTGACGGTGCAGCGCATCAAGGAGGGCGCCTACCCGCTGTACGGGTGGCTCTACCTGAGGTGGTGGGTCAACCACTGGGCTCAACAGATCACTCTCACATTCGCCCACCAGGTCAGCTCCCCCCCCACACACCTATACCATACCATCCATGTGCTTCTCTCTGGGCCTCCTCCGCCTCACTCAGTTCTACTCCACCATGTTCACCCGGACCTACTTCAACCTTCTTGGCGCCAAGCTCGGGCGCCGTGTGGAGATCTCCGACGCCCGCCACTGGACCCCCGATATGCTGCACATCGGTGACGACTGCTTCGTGGCAGACTTCGTCGGCCTGGGGGGCTGGACCGTCGACGCCAAGCGCAACTTCTGCATCAGCAAGGTGATGTGTGAGGAGAGGACATTCCTCGGGAACAACGCCTGTGTGCCGGGGGGCAGCCGCTTCGGCAAGGAGACGCTGCTGGGGGTGATGTCCCTTGCCCCCGGTGCGGACGAGGCCAAGGATGGGACGTCGTGGCTGGGGTCGCTGCCCTTCCCGCTCGCCAACCGTGCCGTGGTCAAGGACAGCGGGGACAGCCGCACCTTCAACCCCCCTGTGCACCTGTACCCTATACGGGGGTCGATTGAGGCGCTGAGGACCATACTGCCGGGGATCGTGTCGGTCTACTCGTTTCTGCTTGCATGGTAGGTATCCACTAGAACCGGACAGACAGGGAGAGGTGTGTTTGAATCTCTCTCTCTCTCCCTGTGTGTGTGTGTGTGTCAGGTATGTGGGGACCATCACTCTGACCGATCTCGGCTGGTGGGGCCTCTTCCTCATGCCGGCCATGTTCTGGCTGTACGGCTCCGTCAACGCCATAGTCGCCATCGCCGGCAAGTGGCTGCTGGTGGGCAGGTACGGCGAGCAGCAGGCGCCCCTCTGGTCGTCGTTCGTCTGGCGCGCCGAGCTCTCCAATGCGCTGGAGGAAGACCTGGCCTTCAACAGCTTCATCCGGGTGCTGATCGGCACTCCCCTGCTGCCCATGTGGTTCCATTTGCTGGGTGCGCGGATTGGCAGCAGGGTGTACATGGCGACGCCTCACCTGACCGAGCCTGACTTGGTGGCGATTGGCGATGACGCCTGCATCAACGACGATGTCACTGTGCAGGGTGAGCTGAGCTGACAGGGGAGAGAGGGAGAGAGGGAGGGAGGGGAAATCGCATTTGGGATTTGGGAGTGCATGTGTGTGTCGTGTGTGTGTGTCTGTTGGTGTGTTGTGCAGGCCACCTGTTTGAGGACCGCATCATGAAGATGGGCACCATCACCATAGGCCGCAGGTGCACAGTCGGCACACGCGCCGTCGTCCTCTACACAACCAACATGGTATACACACACAATCACTCACACACACACACCTTTTCCCTCCATCCCGACGCACCCATGTGCCTGGATCTCCTTACCGTCCAATGAAGGCTGACGGCTCCTACCTGGCCCCCATGTCGTTGATGATGAAGGGGGAGGAGTTCGAGCGCGGCGAGCGGTTCGGCGGCATACCCGCCAAGCCCATCCTCTTCCCGACCCACCGGATGCGGCCGCAGGGGAGCACCTCGTCGGTGCTCATGCCTTATACGCCCCTGACCAGCCACGCCGTGAGTGTGCAGACGGTGCAGCTGAGCCTCAAGAACCAAATGGCCAGGCAGCTCACTCGGCAGGGGTCGACACTTAGCCACCCCTGATGGATGGATGAATGGATGGATAGATGCTGTGTGAAGCGATCTTCGTGTGTTGGTCGGTCGTTGTGGGGTTTTATTCGTTTCTTTCATCGGTCGTTTCTCGTTGTGGCGTGGATGCGGGCATGGGGCCGCTTTATACACATGATGTCTGTCATGTATGCGTGACAACACAGGTACTTAAGACTTAAGGAAGGTCCTGCCTGACCCGACACGTGTGACGATGGTTGTCTGGTGCTTTTGGTGTATTGCTGTGGGTCGTGGTGGGCGGCTGTACGTGCCGTGGTGTCGGCTCGATGTTGGCGATCGCCCCCTCGTTGTCTGCGAATGAGCTGACGAGAGGCCGGTGGCCCACAGCCGGCTGACATCACGGCACACTGCTGCTCACACGCGGATGCCTGTCTGTGGGTGCAGGTGTACATAGTGCATACACACATACACGCATACACACACGTATCACTGGCCAGCTGGGCGGCGCCAGCTCTTGTGTCTTTCTTTCTCCGTTCTGTCTCTGTCATTCTTTGCTTTGCCTCGTTTTTCGCAGCAAAGTAAACGGCTGAGCGTCCCCGCCTCGCCAGCCAATACGCTTTCTGACCTTCACTTCATGTGCAGAGGTATGCGTTTCTCCGTGAGCGGATGAGTGATTGAGTGACCTGAGTCGATGAGTCGATGGCTGGATGGCTGGCTGGATGGATGGATGAGTTGTTGATTTGTCAAGCTGGTCTGAGCTTCTACTGTAGCTGCTTTCCTGTGTCGATTTTTGCGTGCGCTTCTCTCTCCCCTTGCAACAAGACGCTCCATCACGTCGGCAACTCCGTGGTCGGGGAGCGCCCGGCGATGTCAGTCGATGAGGCGCGGCGAGCCTTCATCGGTTTGCGTTGCCAGGTGCTGCCACACCAAGGAAATGCCGACGGACAGGGCGCTGAGGCTCTCACTGGTTGAGCTTATCGAGACCTCTATGGCATCTGTCTGTCTGTCTGCCTGGTGACACAAAGTGTGTGCGTGTCGTGGCTCTCTCCCCGCCTCTGTGTGTACCGACCGTACCCTGCACACATTTATATGCATGTGGACACTCCCACTGTCATACTACATCATATCAAGTCTCCTTACATCCACACACACACACACACACACACACAAACACACATTCACACACCCCGGGCAAACCAAACCAAACGAAACCAAATCTCTCATGCACCGAATTGGCGTCGTAATTAAATGTGTCAGTGTTGTGGCCAATTGTATGTAAGCAAAGCAGCCCAGTGCGTGTGTGTACGTGTGTTGGATGTGCTTCTACTGGCGTGTGGTGTGTAGTGTTCACTACTCTCTTCGGTCAGAAAGTGACTGACGTTTAGACGTCAGCAAAAATCTACTACTACACGCACACACACACGCACGCTTTGATGGAGACAGACCAGCAGCATGCACACGACAGCCCCCCCCCATCCCACCAAACTACCTACCAACACACACCAACAGGCACTCCGTCCGACAGCAACAGCACAGAGACACCACACCGCACCTAGATCACCCACCCATATATCGGGCGCCACAGCCGAGCTCCCCTCATTCATCGCTGATGCCATGGACCTGCACTGCCGCTGACGGCGTGTACGTGTGTCTGGGCAGCAGCACCCGGGGCATCCCACCACGGATGGGAATGTGCACATAACCATCGCCCTCCTCGCCCCCAGGGGCAGACACAGGGTAGCAGTCACTTGTGGTCAGCTGCTGCGGCGGCGGCGGGGGCGACTGGGTGGTGTCGGCCTGGAGAGACGACGCCGACGTTGATGCGTGTGTGTGGGGGCTGGGGGGAGAATGGGGTGATGTGGTGAAGCATGGCGGGCTCGTTAACGAGTCGGGCTGGGGGTCCCAGCAGCACCCTTGAGCCTGCATGAGACAGACACGCACTCAGATGATTACCCAGCCGGTGCTCATTCACATGGTCTGTGTGCCCACTTACCCTGCAAGCGTGTTGGTCGCGGATTGAGCCACACGGCCACCTCTCCTCGAACAGAGCGTCCGTCGGGCAGTCACTCGACGGTGACGGCGCTGACAGGGCCTGTGCTGTGAGGGCACCTTTGTCTCCGTTTCCCTCTCTGGCTTTGAAGCACGACGGCTGGCCGGACATGGGCACCCAGCAGCAGCCCTCCTGCGCCTGTGCGTGGCACAGAGACGGAACACACAAGCGGTGGGTGGCTATATGTCGTGTGTGTGTGTGTGTGGGCTTGCTGACCAGGCAAGTGTCAGGGTCATATATCTCCTCCACCTGCGCAGCGTCCCCCTCTCCCTTAGGCACGACACACTTCTCCTTGCCCTCCAACCGCACACTCAGCCCAAAGCAGTGAGCCGCGTTGCCCAAAGGAATCAGTGCCTCACACAGACCCTGCTCTGCCGCATCAGTGTCGACAAGCGAGGAGGGCAGGGCGCGTTTGGGGATCTTGATGGTCGTGTGTTTGCCGACGCCCATGTTGGTGGCGACGACGATGGCGTATGTGCCTGTGCCGGCACTGCCGCCGTCGCCCCGGCTGAAGGCGTATACGTCATCTTCCACCTGAGACAAGACACACGACACACACATGTGGTTGGGTGGGTGGGTGGGCTGGGGCGGTCTTTCCCCTCCCTCCCTGTCTCCGTCACCAGGAGCTCTCTCTGCGGCCCGTCGAGATGCCCGTTGACGCGGAGGGCACTGAGGGTCTTCAGGAAGCCGTAGAGCGACCCCTCTGCCGTGTCATACGCACTCAGCCAGAGTGGCGCACGCTCATCTACACACACACACACACACGTACATTTATCCGTCAATGTGTTTCCCCCCTTGCCAACGCACCTTTGTCAGCCATTTTGATCTGTTCTGTGCCGTAGATGAACATGGGGACCCCCTCCGCAGCCCCCACAATGGTGAGTGCATTCTGGTACTGCCGCACAGACGGTGCGTCCATCGACAGCGTGTCCCGGCTTGGCGCCTCGTTCCGCCCCATGTCCCATGGGAGCGTTCCGTGCAGAAACCGGGGCATGTCCACACTCTCCAGGAAGTTCACCGCTCGACCTGGAGCGCTGTAGAGCTGCTTCATGAGGGCGAAGGTCTCGGCCACCCCGTGCATCGACTTGCGTCTCACCACATCGGGCGCGAAGGCCTCTCGCAGCGCCCATGTCAGGGGGTAGTTGAGCACGCCATCAAACATGCTGGCCTGCTGCCGGTGTTGGTAAGCCGCCAGGTGCTGCAGCTGCAACGCCCTCGAGCCAAGCGCTTCATCGGGAAAGGTCATGCCTTCGCCGATCGCCCACATTTTCCTCGCCCCCCGCTCTGTTGGGGTGGACAAGTGCCGCAGGAACCGCTCCCAGAAAGCCGTGTCGACATGTCCGATGTCCCTCACAGCAACGCCGTCGAACTGGTACCGCAGCACCACGTCAAGAGCCCACTGTGAGAGATACTCCTCCACGAATGGGTCGGTCGTATCGAGGTCGGGGTAGCTATTGAGCCAGCACTGCTCCAGCCGTCTGATGCGCTCGCGTGATGTGAGCTTGGAGGTGCTGGCCACCTCGCTGGCAGGGTGGCACTTTGCGAAGGGGCGGTAGAAGTGGGTGGCGTTGAAGGGGTAAATGGTGGCGTATGCGGGCCGCTGGGACGACACGACGTCGCCCCAGTGCGGCCCCGCCCTGCCGACGTGGTTGACGACCACCTCGGGTATCAGGCCGATGTGCTGGCTGTGGGCGGCCGTGACGAGCGACTGCAGGTCAGCTGACGTACCGAAGTGGCTGTTGATGCGCTCCCAGTTGCTCGGGGCGGACCCTGCATGACACACACACACACAGAGAGAGAAAGACACAGCATGACCTGACCAGCGAGATGGACACATCTGTGCGCTGTGAGTGGATACCTACCGTCGAAAGTGCATTTGGTGTTCTGCATTAGTGGGGACATCCACAGCGACGTGACGTGCAGGTCTCGGAGGTAGGCCACCTTCGCCGCCATGCCCTTGAAGCTGCCGCCACAGTACCGACCCCTATACCCATGACCCACCTCACCGACCCCGCCAGCCATGGCCTGACACTCGCTCTCCACCTCCCCGGCACACACATCGTCCGATTCACTGCCTGGCGAGAGCGCAAAGCGGTCAGTGACCACCTGGTAGATCACACACCGGCTTGGCGTGTCGACGCTGCAGCCGTGAGCGGACCGTCTTGGTTGTTCTGACGGACGAAATGCCCATCTGCGGACCTCAGCGGACGGGAAATGGTAGGGCCCATCGTCGACAAGGCATGGCGCCGCTCCCTTGGCTGAGCACGGCAACTGCTGCTGGTCTGTGATGGTGAGGGGGCAGCAGCCATCGGCCCCGCCCTGTCGCAGGTGGCAGATTGAGTCTGCCGCACATGTGCCGCATGACCCCGAGCAGCATGTGTTGTGCAAAGCGTTAAAGTTCCCATTGAGGGCGCTCTCGCAGATGTCTCGCCGCAGCGCAACACTCAACCCGCTCGTGGCCGCCACACACGGCGCTGCACCCTGCAGCGCGCACCGAGGCGACGGCTCGCCTATTGGCATTCGTGTCTCGCCGTCACTGTCACTCTTGTAGGTCTTCATGCCGACAGCCGCCTTGAGGATCTCATTGGGGCAGCACGCACGTGGGTCGAGGAAGAGGGCCCTGCCGCGGACGGCACACTCGCCATCGTCGTTGTCGCACCGGCCACACTCGGCTGGGCAGCAGGCCAGAGAAGGGGAGTGTGGTGTGGGGGAAGGCTGCAGGATGCCGTGTGAGCGGAAGCACTCTTCCACGGCGGGGGACTTCTCTGAGACACAGAGACGCACACAGAGACAAGGAGGTCACTCGACCGACAGGGTTGGTTGGACGGACGTTAGCAGGCCTGACTCACCGGGGACGTCGATGCTCATGGTGATGGGTGGTCCGATCGGTCTACGATTGAATGTGGCGGACACCTCTTTCTCAGTGGCCCCGTGCCATGCTGCGAGCTGCGCGTCGTCCTGACCCTGCAGCCGCCTCGCCCTCTCTGTTTCCTCTTTCACACCCTTCCCCTCCCCCTCCCTCCCCTGCAGCCAGAAGGCCTGCGCAACGATCGTGTAGTTGCCAGGCCGACCTTCGAAACCGCAGAACTCCTTGACAATATCCTGGCCGTCACTCACAATGTCTTCACAGAGCGTGAAAGGGGCGCGGAAGTCCCAGAGCTGCGACACCACCTCCTTGCCGCGGCGGACCATGACGTGGAACCCGATGTGGGAGGTGTCTTCGTCAATGGCGGGGTGGAGGCCGATCTGCAGATTGAAAGGGCTCTTGAGCTGGGGCGTGGCGAAAGCGACGGGCAGGTGTCTCGGTGTGCCGTGGATGCGGGGTGCGAGGGGCGGGATCAGCTCGTACGCATCTGCTGGTTGGTCATTGAACGCTGCTTCGTTCGGCAGGTAGAGAGGCACGTTGCTTGCCGTGGCTGTGGAGGGCTTGGCAGCGCCGGGGGGGATGGGATCGATGAAGCTAATGGAAGTCAGCAACGGGCTGACAGCCACTGAAGGACGGCCAGGCACAGAGGTCCAGACAAGCGTGAAGGACAACGAGTCGGAATGCTCACCCTGGCTGTTTGCGAAGGTTTTGGCTTCTGGCTCGTCCGCCAAACATGGGGGGTGCGGCGAGGCCCCCTCCCAACAGGACCCGAAATGCTCAGCCACGAACGACGCGCAGCACAGCCGCTCCCGCACCTCCCTCTCCAGCCTTGCCAGCGCCTCAGCACGATCAACCGCCTCCATACCTTTTGCACGCCTCGCAACCAGCGAATCGCGATGCTGCCCATCCACCACACCATCCACCACACCACCTCCCTCTTGGTCTCTTTTCAGATATGTGAGCAGTGTGGTGGTGTTGGCGAATGCGTGTGGGGGGACGGACGGCAGGCGGGCCCAGTCGAGGGGCGATGGGCGCTGCTTCTCGCTGCCGCTTTTCGCGCATTGTGACGCGCCGCAGGTTGAGCAGAATGCGGGGCAGCAGCTGGTCGCATAGTCCTTGTCGTCGCTCATGTGGCCGCGGATGCGCGAGCACAGGAAGGTTGAGAAATCGGCGGAGGTTGAGACGCCGTCCATGCCCACCGCATTGGCCGCTGCAGACGGACCTTCAAAGGGATGCACAGAGCACACAGATCGACATGCAGTCACCCTGTCTCGTGTATCCATCCCACTTCTCACCCTTTGTCTTGACAGTGACCTCCACAGGCGACTTGAGAGGCTTGCCCTGGGACATCATCTGGGCCGTCACACGGTACTGACCCGCAGGCCACCCACACCCCCGATAAACCAGCCGCTCCCTCCCGTCACTCGACGAGCACAGAGCATACGGAGGCTCTCTCTGCTCGCGTGTCAGGAACAGCGCTGCGGCATTTTCCTTCTTGCCCTTTTCCACCCGGTGCACATCGAATTTGACGCCGACCAAGCCGTCATGCTGCCGCGGGAGGCCGTTGATGGTTACGTGGAAGTTGAAATCAGCCGCTGAGGATTGAGTGACCGCGAGAAGGGGGCCTGCAGGCTGCTGGGCGGTGGTGGTCGATAGGTCAGCAATGAGGGACGTGAGATCGAATGGCTGTGCTTGTGGCTGAGTGGTGGCGTTGAGGGGTATGAGGGCAGAGGGGGCGGTAGTGGCCGTCTCGGTGGTGACTGTCGGCCGGATCAGGGATAACTCGCCGAGACTCAAGGATGCATCTGAACCACACACGCATTGAGACGATGACGGATGTGCGAAATGGATCTGCGCCCCGCACCGCGCCTAGGCTACCACCGATGCACGGCGCCGCCTTGGCATGGCTGCAGAATGTCCTGGTCTCCACGATCCTATTGGCACAGCAGCTCTCGGCTCCGCCCCAGCGGTCACTGCACTGCTGACTATCGTCTGTGTGGCACACCCCGCATGTGGACGCACAGCAGGCCTGGGATGCGACGTCAAGCACACCCAAGTGCTCGAAGCACTGCGCCTCAGACGCGGACGGGCCTGCAAGCACACACAGACAGACAGACAGACAGACAGACAAACAAACAAAGGTGTGTGAGTTTCTTTCTTGCTTCTCTTGCGCACGTTCCAGTTGTATGATGGCCGTCTGTTGCTGGCCGACTGGCTGCTGCTTTTCGTCCAGCATGGTGGCCGTGAGCCGATACATGCCCCCGGGCAGCTGGCTCCCCTTCTTGTCTCCATCGGCACGGACCTCGCACGCCCCCAGTGCGTCCCTCTTGCCACCGTCTTTGGCTTGACACAGAGTGAACGGCGCCCCAGAGCCCACACGTGACAGCACCGCCCCCGCCTCGACCGCATTTGCCATCCGCTCCTTCGCTTTTGTAGGCCACATGTCGCCGTCCTTGCCGGCATCGAGATACGGCAATGATACGTTCATCAGCGCGCCGGCGTATGCGGCGTCGTGGCCGATGAGTCCGTCGATGCGCGCCAGCTCCATCTTGATGGACGGCTTGTCGTCTTTGGTGGCGTGCCATGTGTGGACCTCCATGTTGAATGGCGATGTGAGCTGCCGGTTGATGTGTGGGGGCGGGAGGAGGGGCGGGCCGATGCGTTGCCCGGTCGCCGGATGGACGAAATACAGATCCCCGAGACGCGATGAGGGCTCTGCAGCCACACGCACACGAGCGTTGTCATGCCCACCCGTCCAATTGTGTGTGTGTGGATGTGTATGTGGATGCTCCCGTGCCTGTGAAGCATGGCGGCGCTGCTGCATCCTTGCTGCCGTCTTCACTTCTGCACACCGTCGCTTGGTCACTCTCGAGAACGCGAGAAGGGCAGCACTCCGGTGTCCTGACGCACTCGTCGGTGTCGGGTGCAGCGTCACATCTCCCACACGCAACGGGGCAGCACGCCAGCCTGTCGGCATCCTTGTCGTCGGCCGGCGATTTGCTCGGCACACCGCCAACTGCCAGGCAGTCGGCAGCACGGGGATCGAGCCCTGAAGGATGCAGAAGCACACAGACAGCCGGACACATGACGGTTGTTGACATACAAACACCCACGCCGCTCACTCGGCACATCGATGAGCACTTCGACGGGCGGCAGGGTGTTGCCATGCACACTCCGGAACACGGCCCGCACCCGATAAGTGCCAGGGAAGTCCCCCACCCAGCAGCCCCTCTGCCCGTCGCTGCACATCACATACGGCTCCTTGCGGTGCTCCACACTCAGCAGGGGCGTCTCGCCAACAGCTGTAACATCACCTTTGTTGTCGGCGAGAGACGACACACGCAGCGACATCGCAGAGGGTGAGTGAAGATGGACCTCCTCTAGCCGCCTCTTGTCAGCGGTCTCCATGAAGAGGCTCATCTCGACGGCGGCGATCTCCTGGGCCGCTGGGGCGGGGAGGCCGTGTGTGGCGGACACATTGGCTCCGTCTCTCTGGTGTTCCAGGACCATTTCGATGGTGAATGGGTGTGTGAGCAGGGGGTTGCGTGTGCGGCCGGGCTGCAGCGGCACCGGGATGCGCTCGTTGGTCAGGCTGTTGCGGAAGTAGAATGTGGCAGATGTTGCCGGTGTGCTTGCCGTGGCATCCTGCTTGCTTGCTGTTGCCGCCTTGTTCTCTTGTTTCTTGTCCTCTTTCTGCCGGTTTTCATCCTTGGCAGGCAGCCTTGCCTTCACCGCCTGCTCCATCGAGATGGGCTTGGACTCCTTGGTGGTCTCCTTCTCCTGACCGTCCTGTGGGTCCCCCTTCTGCTGTTTCTCTGCCTTCCCTCCATCCGTTTCACTTGCGTCAGCATCTGTCTTGCCCTGCAAGCCGCTGGCGGCGGGCTCCTCGATGTAGTTGTCCTCCCATCCCTCGTCACTGTCAGAGGGTGACTCTGTGGCCTCCTGCCGCTCCTCTTTGCTGGGGGCTTTAGTGGTAGATGTCGTGGTAGTGGTGGTGGTTGAGGTGGTCGTGCTTGTGGTGGTGGTTGATGTTGACGTGGTTGCTTCGCCCTCATTATTATCATCAGGTGGCGATTCTGTGTTGGCCTCCTCCTTTCCGTCCGCAGCTTCTTCACCTTTGGGTCCGCCCTTGAGCTCTGGCACGGCACCCTTGAAGCCGTCCTCGCCATAGTCCAGCTCGTAATCACCCTTATCACCCTCAGCCTCCTTATCTTCCTTTACGCTGCTCTCTTCCTTCTTCGCATCTTTCGGCTTGTCCTTGGGCGGGGCCTTCTTGGCGTCGAAGCGGCCCACCACCCGGTGCTGCAGCGTGGCGCCCTCCTTGCCAGTCTCCTCTGAGTCGTCCTCCTCACCGTCCTGCAGCTCTCGCCTCAGCAGCTTGCCCTTGGTGAAGGGGGACGGAAATGAGAAGCGGGCACGGCTGGCGAGAGGTGGCGAGGCGGACACCACAGGGCAAGACGGCAGCACCGACAGAGGGAGGAGGAGGAGGAGGAGGAGGAGGAGGAGCACTCCCGCCGCCGCCAGGTTGAGTGCCAAGGCTGCGGCGAGTTGCATTGCTTGTGCTGGTCGCGCTGTGCTATTATTTCGGTCGGGCCAGTATCCTCACTCCCTGTCCGACGCGGACACACCGAAACGAACCCAAGCAAACCTCTCAAGACGGCCACACGTACGTACGGCCAGCCGAGAAGAGCGCACAGAAACGCATTCGACGTCTCTCTCTAGCTAGATCTGTGTGTCTGTCTCACTCACACACAGACACAGATGACATCGTTCCTCTCTCTGTCATTGATCATTTCTCAGCCGGCGATCGGCTTAGGCACTATTATTGATGTGAGACCGATGCAGTGCAATGGCTCCTGAGCGCATGGGTTGTCCTTAATGACTTGGCCATTGGCCTGCCAATGGTATAGTCTGCACACCGACGAGTGGCCTGTCCACCCCTTTGTGTGTGTATGTGTGTGTGTGTCTGTCAGCCGGTCGATGGCCACCACACACAGAGTGATAATCAACAATCAATTTGTTTCGTGGTCACAAACAAGATCACAGTCAGCACACCGACACACGCAGGCAACACCACAAGAACCAAATCGACGTCTCTCTCGGTATCCCATCTCTCTCTCGTCTCTCAACAGCTCGAATCCACCCACACCCACGCAAACGACTCGCACTCAGACACAACACGTGGACACATCCATCCATCGGTCCATGCGTGTGTGCGCGTGTGCGTAGAAGCATGACATCAGGACGGTCGGCAACAGGACCCACCCGCTGCCTCATTTGGCGGGACGGGTAAGCAGTCTCGTGTGTGTGTCCATTCATCCCCTCGCCCGCCCCCCCTTGCGCATCTCTGTCACCGCCCGGCAACCCTCAAGCACCAACACCCTTCATGGGCTGATGCTCTAGGGTGGCCGGCAGGCTGATAAGATGCCCACAGAGGGAGAGGGGAGGACACGAAAGCATACAGAAACAGAAAAAGATCATATCTCTCTCTCCCTTTCTCACACAGTCACGCAGGCGAAGAGATCAGGGTGTGTGTCGGCCCGTCTGTCTGTCAGCCGGCCGTGTGTGACGGATGCATCGACGAGAGATCAAAGCACTCTCGCGAGCAGACGTGACACGTGGCCTCGTCACAGACAGACCGCAGCCGCCACACCACACCACACAGCGATTCATGTGCAGCCAGCCAGCCAATCATCCCTCCCTCCCTCCCTCTCTGTCTGTCTGTCTGTCTGTCATCTCTCCCCGCCCCCCACTCACCGGCCGACACACTCATGGCAGCAGACGGCCGACAAGTGCCAGTCAAAGGAGACATGACAGCGGCAGCCAGACAAATCGACACGCACATACGACCCAAACGCGACATAGTGAGAGGTCCAGTTCACTTCAGTTGACATGTCCGTCGACTCATCGGCCGATCTTTCTTTCCTTCCGCACATATCATCGCCATCAGCGCGTCGGAGTCATCAGCCACTCAGTCAGTCAGTCACACCTGCACACACAGAGACAGACAGACAGACAAGACACCTGTGCGTGCGTGTGAGTCCTGCCTGCGTCCTGCTGTCCGTGTGCCCATCTCTCTCGGCGTACCAGTTGTTCGAGTGCAGGACTGTCGCCAACCACCGCCGCACCACACACACCACACGACGCGACATCTGCAGCACACCACACACAGACAGATGACAAGCACCAGCCGTCATCACAGCGCCATGCACCACCTCGGTGTGTCACTCGCTGGTCGCTCACCTGACTGCACACCGATGTCTGTCTGTCTGTCAGTCAGTGCCGCCAGCAGCCGCCCTGCCTGTGTGTCACTCGTGTGTGCATCCTGTGGGTCGGCCGAGCACACCGCCAGAGGGAGGGAGGGAGGGAGGGAGGCAGGGAGGGGTGAGGACAGATGACAGATCTCGCGTGTGCAGTGGGCCGTCAGGAGGGCTCACAACGATGCAGGGTGCTCACTCAATGGCGTAGAAGAGGTGGAAGACACGCCTGCAGGTCTTGCACATGACCGAACAGACGGCCGCCGTCTGTTCGGTCAGATGCAAGACCTGCACGCGCATCTTCCCCCGGGGTTGGAATCCTGAACCCTGAACCCTATGTGCTGACGGTCTAGAGGGGATGCAGGCGAATAGGGGGAAAGCATCGGCTGCAGCCGCTGCTGGCAGCGCTGCACAGCCAGCGCCGCCTCCTGTGCGGAAGGGAGTGTTCATCAGCCTGTATCGCGAGTTCCCCGACATCACCCTGCCCGTGAGGGACTTCAAGGACTATGCCATAGCCAGACTCAAAGGTACACACACACATACACATACAACACACACTCCACACGCAGAGCAGATGGATGGATGGATGGATGGATCTCCCGTGTGTGTCGTGTTGATCTGATGCATCTCACATCTGTCAGTGTTGAAGGACATCGAGCGCATCTACAGCCTGGACGCCACAGACCTGGACGCCAGCGACGATGCCGACATGAGCAACTACGGCCAGATGGTGCGGCAGCGGGAGGACAAAGTCATGAAATCGCTCTACGAACATGGCCTGGCCGTCGAGGACCCTAACGGACCATTGTCAACAGAGCGGGCCAAGGAGTGCGACGAGCACTCCCACTTCACACTCAGACTGGCGTAAGAACGGGAGGGGGGGAGCCAGCCGCACACAGTCCGCCAACACGCTATGTGGGTGTTGGTGTTGTGTGCCATTGTCTGTCAGGTTTTGCGAGAGTAGCGAGAAGCAGAACTGGTTTGTTTCGCAGGAGGTGCACATGCTCAAGGCCAAACTAGGTGGGCAGAGAGAGGCCAGGGTCGCCACACATAGACCTGGTGTGATTGGGGTATGTGTATCGTGTGTGTCGGTGTGGGTGTGGGTGTGTGTGTGTTGTGGTGTGGTGTGCCAGGTAGCAGCTCTGCCGTGACGGCCAACTTCCTCCTCAGAGAGGGCATCAGATACCACTCGGTCAGTACACACACCTCTACACATACACATACGCATACACACTCTTTGTGCGTCTTGTGCACCACCGTGGTCTCAGATGGAGTGGAATGACATCCCTGACGGGCTGCGGCTCGACATCTACGATGTTTCGCCCGGCAAAAAAGACCAGCGCTTCTATCAGGTAAGCAGAGGCTGACAGTGCATGCTTCGGACAGCCACACCTGCGTGTGCATAACATGCGGCTGACGGACGTCAGGTGCCGTGGGAGGCCGCTGCATCACTCGTTGCGCGGCGGAAAGTCGTCTTACGACGTGCGTGAGCCAGGAAGGAAACAACGTCACTGCCCCTGCCGATTGCTGTGGCTCTTGACCGATCAGGTGGTGTAGCGTTTGTGGCCGAGGAGGACCTCAAGACCATCATTGCCAACAGATACAGGTGGGTGGTTGGTTCGGTGACCACTACCACCCCACTGGCATCCTCTAAGTCCTTCGTCGGTGTCTGTCCGTTCAGACAGTTCCTGCTGGCTCAGCTCAAGTGCCTGCAGAACTCGCGCCACATCGTGGTACGTACGCACACACCACACCCATCAGCCGACCCAACCGCAGCTTGTCGGTCCATGTGAGGATGTGTGGGTGGGTCAGGAGGTGCACAACGACCCCCGTTTCGGCTCGTTCGTCAAGAACCTCAAGAACATATACCTAGGTAGGCAGGCAGGCAATGGGCGGTGGGGTGGGGTGGGTGGGTGGGAGAGAGACGCACCACCACCACCACCACACTGCGACCAGCTGAGCTGGCCGATGCTGCTGGCGTGTGCAGGTCCGGACCCGTCAGCCTTCAGCCCTGAGGAGCAGCACGTGGAGCGACTCACGCCACACAACATCGACAAGGTGCGGTGCCTTGGGGAGGGAGGGAGGGAGGGAGGGGGAAGCGGCCAGACACATGCAGTCAGTCCATTAGGCATATTGTGGTTGTGGTTGTGGTTGTGTCTATCATCAGGTCGTGCCGCGTTCGTTTCCGCCGTGCATGCGCCGCCTGATGGAGGGGCTCAGGTGGGAACCACGATCCATCACCACAGCAACGAACACACACACACACACACACACACGTTGTCGGGCGTGTGTGTGTGTGTCAGGAGCGAGCGTCACTTGAAGCACTGGGGCCGTCTGCAGATCTGGCTGTTCCTCAAGGGCGCGGGCATGTCGATGGAGGAGGAACTCTCCTACTTCAAGCAGAACATGACGCTCAAGGCCACGGCGTTTGACAAGGAGTAAGCACGTCACCACGCCGACAGGGATGGGTAGATCTCTCTCTCTCTCTCTCTGTGTGTGTGTGTGTGTGTGTGTGTGTGAAAGGCATGCTTACCACATCAAGCACATCTACGGCAAGGTCGGTCACATGAAGAGCAAGCCCCCCTACGGCTGCGCCAAACTCATGAGCGGCGACGCACCACCCAACCCTGGCCCGGGAGACTACCACGGTCAGTCACCGACAGACAAGAACCAGCCACGAGCTGGGAACGACAGTGCAGCCAGCAGCCAGTCCTGTGATTTGCCTGTGTGTGGTCGGTTGGTCGGTTGGTTGTCTGTGTTGCGTTGCGCAGGTTGTCCGTTCAAGCATTTCGACCCCGGCCCTCTGAGCCAGCTCATGAGGCGTTACAACGTGCCAGGTAAGAGGCACAACCAAAGAGCGCCACACAGCCCTGCCCTGCGTCCTTCCACTTCTGGGCGGGTGTCTGCGCGTCTGTCTGTCTGTCCCCCACACATAAATGCAGACGGATCCACCAAGAAGATCCTGGACCTCGTCAAGGGACACCACTACCAGGTCAGGTGGGCGGGAGCTCAACGTCCATCCATCCACTGACGTCGTGGTTCTCTTTGTGGTCGGGTCGCTCAGCTGGGGTGTGTGGAGTACTTCAGGGCCACCCACCCCGACTCAGCAGGTAAGGTTACCTACTCGCGCCACAGCCGACACACACAGAAGTTATGTTCCTCTCCATCTGTGTGCGTCTTGTGATGAGTGCAGCTGACGGCGTGGGCAACCACCCCAACGCCTTCTACACCGAGAGCTGCAAGTCAGCCCCACAACCATCACACACCCGCCCAACCAACCGACAAGACACGCCTCATGTTGCGTTTGTGCTGAACGCAGGTATTGGGGCGCCAAGAGCGGCGACGGCAAGGTCAAGAAGGAGGAGGGCGGCCCCGCCGACATGGACGTGGACCAGGAAGGCGCCAGCAGCAGCAGCGCCCCGGCCGCCGCCGCCGCAGCAGCATCTGCCGCCCCGGCAGGAGGAGACACACACTGATAGGATGGGAGCGTGTAGAGCAGCTAGATCGGTAGATAGAGAGTGGCCAGCGAACGATGCACTGAGCTGATGGCGGCCAGAGGCTGGGAGGTGTGCGTGTGTAGAGGGGACTGGCAGTTGGTGTGCGACTGCTGTGCTGTGCGCCACTTTGATCCCATCACACAGTACTAGCGTGTGGCAAGACAGGCGCACCGATGGCGCACTTTTCCTTCCTTTGTGTCTATAGAGAGCTATATAGCGTCGGTCGGAGTGTACGCGTGTGCGATGCCTTGTCGGGTGGGTGGGTGGGATCCATCACACATGCACACATTCAGTGATATGCAATGCACGAGTGGGGTCGAAGTCGCCAAGACAAAAACTCACCTCAACCAGTAAGTTATGTGTGTATACTAAAGCGTCTGGCTGCTCAGTCCACGTGCCGTCCTTCACCGTTTCCATCACCACACACAACGAATGCAGGGGTGCGTGCGTATACGGGCACACGTACCACTGCATTTGTCGGTCTGTGGGCGGTGGTGAACACGGGGAGTGACCGAACACACGGACGGCAAAAGGCACACTCTTTCACTCACAGTCAGTCGGCCCAATAAAGGCACACGCACACACGCGTCTGTCTACCCTCCACACGGTCTCTCGGCAAGCCTCTACATCAATCACCGAACAGCACCTCAGCGCAGCACACACAACACCCATCCCTCGGTCGGTCAGCGGCCGCCCATTCGCCTGTCTGTCACGGACCCGTCGAGCAGAGAGGACACTTGAATGCCGTTCTGCGTTTCGTTGCGTGTGTGCTGATTCCTTTGTGTGTACCTATCATCGTCGGCCGTTGCGAGCGTCAGACCTAACACACACACAGACACACACCCACACACACACACACACACAGAGAGAGAGAGAGAGGATGAACATTCGTGAAATGAAGGGTCAGAAATGAAGTCGCGGGCGGCACACACACATAGACAACGGAAAAGACGTGCATGCAGCTCACCCGCCCCCGGGGGCCCTCGACTGCATTGCCATCATCATCAAGCACAAGAACATCATCATCATTCTCAGTCACACCAGCCACCGGCGTCAGACAGGCACGAAAGTCAGCGTGACGAGATGGTTCAGCTGCACTGTCTGTACGGCATCGCCACCCAGCTCAGCTTCATGTCCATCCATCCATCCATTCATCGCCCGCCCGCCCGCCACTAAATAGCCAGTATCGCATTCGATGGCCGCCTTACCCATAGTGGTCGTCATCGCGATAGTGGCGATCCCGCCTGTCGTCATGTCGGTCGTCGTAGCGGTCTCGACGGTCGTCATAGTACCTGACAACCAACGCAAGCCACAGACACGCACACATACATACAGTCCATCAATTTTATCCATGTGCCCTTTCTCTCCCTCCCTCCCTCTCTCCCTCACTCTCTCCCTCCCTCCGCACCTGTCTCGGTATCGGTCGTCCCTGCCCCTGTCATAGTCGTCGTAGCGCTCCGGCCTGTCGCGGTCGTAGTAGCCCCTGCTGTTGCGGCTGTCGTAGTCCCACCACCGATACCGATAGGACTCATCGCCGTAGTCGCGGGAATCATGACCACCACCACTGAGCGACACACATATCGACTGTACGGTGCATGGTCTGGCGTGCAGCCTGCGAAGCCGCAGACATACCGGTAGAGGCGTCCGCTCTTGTGGTCGTCGATGCGTCGCAGGATGATCTCCTTGGCCCGCTCCCGTGACCTGGGGTTCTCGGCGAAGATCAGCAGACGCTCACCAGTGCCCTCACCACGACTCTCACGGCTGACACACAGACAGACAGATGAAGCGAGGTGTGTGATGTGGAATCAACGGCTTGTGTGTGTGTGTGTGTGTGTGTGTTGGTTACTTGAGGCCTTCGACGAAGCAGAATGTCCTCGTGTCTTCCTCCACCTGCCTGAGAGTGCGTCCCTTGGAGCCGGTGACCAGACCCACATACTCATACGGGATGTGCAGCACCGTCACATCGTCCCTGAAAGACACACGCGTACACGTCCGTCATCCGGTGTGCATGCTCAGTACGCTTATTGGTCAACGCACCTGCCGTCGGTGTCGACTGTGACGCTCTTGACACGCTGATCGCACAGCCACCGGAGGTACTCATACACACGCTTCCGCTGAGCCAACGTGCCTGAACACGCCGACAGCACGAGCACGTTTGTGACGCTTTCCCGCCCCTTCCCCCCCCCCAGTGATGCATTCATGGGTGTCTGCTTACCGGACATGAATGCGATGCGACCGACGTACTCCATGACGGCTCCCGATGCGATGGCGAGTTTGCGTCGCGTGGTGCCCTGGGAGCCCAGTGCGTATGAGAAGTCCTCCTCGGGGATGCGATAGTAGTCAGTCGAGAACATGTCACGGGGGTCGAAGTAGTCAGTCACCGCTGCCGATGCACACACGCACAAGGGGAGGCGGGGAGCTCAAGACATTGATGTGGTTGGCTGCCAGGCACATACCTTTTGTGTAGAACCCCTTGGACTTGCCCTCCACTGCGCTCATGATTTTGAGCTCAGCACCACGACGATTGCGCCTGACACACACACGCACACACGCACACACATGGATTCGTCATCGACGCTCGACTGTGAACGAGATGGCTGCCTCACTCAGCTCCGAAGATGGCGAGGTGCTCCTGGATCTCGCTTTTGAGTTTGCGCCCCTTGGCATTCTCGACGAAGAACATGATGGTGGTCCACTCCTCCTCTATAGAACGCAACACCGTGCCCTTCTTGCCTGATTATTGCACGCATAGCACACACACCATACAGCTTTGCTCGCTCCCTCTCTGTCTACTACGTCGCTCACCAGTGACGTATCCCACACAGTCAGCCGGCACAGGGACCAGTGAGAGGTCGTCACGGTCCTTCTCGTCGAAGTCAATGGACACCGGCCCCACCCTCTGAGCCATCACCACTTTGGCGTACAGCTTGGCCTTCTCGCGAGCCTCAGGCCTCCCACGAACCTCCAATATCAGATCTGGGTGCCAGCCAGCCACGATGTCAATGTGGGAGGCATCAGACGTTCTTCGTTGGCTCGCTCACCTTTCTCGTCGAGGTCGAGGACGGCCTCGGCCACCCGGGCAATCTTCTCCTTGGTCGCACCCTTGCGGCCGAGCAGGAAGGCCGCATCACTCTCGCTCACCTCCTGCAACATCCACACACAGAATCAAGCACGCCATTCCCTTCTGCTAACTGCTGCATGCGGGCCATCTCTCACCATGATGTCAGGTTTCTCCCCATTGTCGTCATCGTATCGGCCTCGCCGCCTGCCGTGACGCTCGTCGCGAGGCTCGTCGCGGTCATCATGGCGGTCTCTGTCACGCTCACGCTCTCGCTCACGCTCACGGCTTCGGTCATCGCCCCTCTCGTCACGGCGCTCCCGACGGTCGGCGCTGCGACTTCGCGAACGGGACATCCTCGCGATATGCTCTCAAACTAACGCCACGCCGATCGTAGCTACCATTTGCGAGCTCAAATCCGATCGTCGTGACTGCTGATCTGCCACAGATCAAGTCGTTGGCAGCGTTGCCTTGTCCAGAAGAGCACAATGGTGGTAAGTGCAAGAGAAAGAATCGAATTCGGCGACGTTCGATGATGTGTGTGATCTCTCTCCCATCAGCTTCCATTAAATCTGCTGAGGACAGCTCAGAATCAACCAATGGTGCGGCCAGAGAGAGATGAAAAGACGGCAAGGAAAGCAGACAATGGCGTTTCGGGTTCTCTGCTCTCTGCGTTCGTTTCAGATGGTTGAGCTGAAGAACGGCGAGACCTACAGCGGCGTGCTCGCCAACTGCGACACATTCATGAACCTGCAGATGAGGGACGTCATATGCACTTCACGGGTGAGCTGACTGACACGTGCACAGATGCACGTGGACAGTCGGCGTGATGATGCCGCCTCTCTTTCTCTCTCCTTGTCGTGTGACTGTGTGTGCAGGATGGAGATCGTTTCTGGAAGATCGCCGAGGTCAACATCCGCGGCAACAACATCAAGTACTTGAGGCTGCCCGACGAGGTCATCGATATGGTCAAGGAGGAACAAAAGAAAGAAGGTGACACTCAGGCAAACCATGCATTTGTCATCCATCACCATATGTGTGTGTGCGCATGTGTGTGTGTGTGTGTGTGTTGTCAATGCTCTCAGCTCGCCAGGCGGCGAAGGGCCGTGGTCGGGGAAGGGGCCGAGGCGCGCCTGCCGGCAGAGGTAACAGTAGACATGTGCATGGTAACCTGTGATGCGTGTAATGCGTGTGGTGTGCAGGGAGGGGCGAGATGAAGGGCTTCGGAGGCAGGGGAAGGGGATGATGATACGATGGCTGGCGGGTGCATCCGGAGCTGATCGTGACTGACTGACGTTGGTTGTATCGACATACATCGCGATTATGTATGTGTGTGTACATTCCCTTGACCTATCGCATCGCAATACGCATGATATGACTTTTTCCGTGTGAGTGAACTGGAATGCCGCCTCTCGTCAAGTCCGTGTGAAAAAGATGCTGCTGCTTTTCCTGCCCTTACTGCTGTCGTTATTGCGGTCGGTTATGTCGCGTTTGGTGGTGGTGAATGAGCGGTCGGAACATCAGCTCGTCCGCCTGACCATATCGGCACCACACTTACAGCATCCACCGCCCGATGACACCCCGCGGCTGTGTGTGTGCGCCACGCACACACGAGGACCACCACAGTGTCGTGAAGCGATGATGGTGAGGGCGTTTGGCCGAGAGGGAACAAACAGCATTGGGCAGGCCGACCTGCTGGTGAGTCGGCGGGGTGGTGTGGTGGTGGCCGTCAAGCACCAGCACAGAGTGACTCTCATGGCACTGCCGACACACACTCAACGAGGTGAGCGAGACGAGACACCATCACCGTGTGTCTGTGTGTGCTTAGCTTCATTGATTGTCTTGTCTTGTGTCGTGTTTGTGCAGGTGTTGGTGGTGTGTTGTCCGTCAGCCTTGTCATCGACCCACACACCACCCACACCAACACACACACTATCAGCCTGGTCGCGTCGTGGCGGCTCTTCCACGGCCTCATTTCTCGCGCCAATGCCGCTGCCGCCAACCCGCCCAAGGAATCAGTGTGCGAGGCGCTCCTCACCGTTATGGGAACCGGCGAGGATGAGTGTGTGGCGGCCTCGCCCGCATCAATGTCGACCGGCAATGTGCTGCCAGCGCCACCAGCCATCGTGCAGAGAGGCGACAAGAACAACACACTGGTGAGGGAGTAACCACACAACGCTTCGCGTGTGAGTACCCATCGATGTCAGGTTGGGTGGGTGGTCACTCTCTGTGCGGTCGTCGCGACGGCAGCACTGCTCTGCTGCTGCCATCGGAGGTACGCAGCCCGGAGGCGGGGGAGTGGGTGTCTCAGTCAGTCAGTCAGTCAGTCTGTCGTCTGTCTCTCACGTGGATGGACTGCAGGGCGAAGCGCACCAGAGCTCAGCCTGTCTGTGCCTCTGAGAGGACACCGTCCGCATCGCCCGGCGAGATTTATGTCACTTACCGCAGCCAACAGGTGAGTGAGCGGAGAATGAATGGATGGACCTGCGGGATGAATGGATGTGATGCAGGTGTTGTCGTTCTGTACGCATCGTGAGCGGAGTGAGGTCGAGATCATGCAGCTGCTCATGGGACACCAAGTCGAGAGCGTGCTCGTGTGTCAATGACAATCGATGAACTAATGAATGAATGGATGTATTCACAGAAGTGCCTTGCCGGTCCGTCACACTCTCTGCTTTGCTGTCACATGAGTACTGTACACACGTCATCCACACAGAGCCACCAGTCAGTCTAGTCTTCCCTCCAGTGTTTCTCGCACGAGCAGCATCTGTAGAAGCTCGTCATGGGCTCGTCACCCGACCTGATCTGCATCTGCTTGAAGAACGCCTCACGGTGGCCGCAACCCGGACACACAACTGACCGCATCAAACACACACAGACATAACACAGAGCAGATCAGAGGCGGGACGCGGGCATGTCATCTGCCATTTGCGTACCTTGTGTCCTCGGTGCGCCGTCCCACATTTCCTTGCCGAAGACCTCGTCGCGTTTCCTTTGCTCGAAGGTTGTCTTGCGCGTGACCTTCTCGGTTATCCTGAAGACGTAGGGGCAGCTGCGGCAGTAGAACCGCAGGTTGCTGCCCAGGTGCTGCTGGTCAACCAACAAGATGTTGGCGCACGTAGGGCAAAACAACGCCATCACCACATGCTCTCTCTCATCGCAAGGCACACCACAACTCTTTTTAGAGCGGTTTCAGGGAACACCCTAGGCAGGGAGGAAGTTGCGAGCTCAAATTCTCCGCCCTTCCTGTGTTGGCTGCCTGGCAACGATGCAGCGGCACGGGTGAGTCGCCCAGCCCTAGTGGACGGGATACGTGCAGGATCTCCTCGATTTGCGCCAAGATCCAAACCTCCTGGTGACGGTCCTGCTGCGGCGTTCCGCGGCAGCGACGGGCAGAAAGAGGAGCTTATTCGGTGCTGCCGTCCACCGGCAGCACAACCTCTGCGCCTCGCGCTCTCCGGCGAGTCGACTCGGTGGCATCTCTGAGCGGGCAGGAGAGCGTTGAGGCGGCGCCAGCAGGCGTACAGAGGAGCACACTAGGTGCCACACCAGGGCTGCCTTCGGCCACGATCAGCTCGGGGCTCGGCACGGCAAAGGTATCACAATCGAATGCGCCGTGTGTGTGCGCGTCCCATTGCACAGAGGGAGGGAGGGAGGGAGGGTTTGCGTTTGTTCTGGTGCATTGGTCGTTGTGTCTGTCTGTCTTGTGTGTGCGTGTCGTCAGGTAGTGGCTATTTTCGGCTATTGAGCGGCTCTTCCTCACCCTCACCAGTCTCTCCGTCGAGACACTGTCGTTTTCGTGACGATGTCGACCACACCCCCCGACGCCACGTGGCCACCTGCCCCCCCTCACCGACCCGCACCCAATACACAGCAGCAGGACGCCCCTCCCGTTCCCACACCCACCCCACTTCTGCCACCACACATGCACCTCATCACCATCCCCCCATCCCAACTGCCGCACACACTCCAGCAGCCGGCACAGCAGCAGCAGCAGGCACAGCAGCACACGGTCGCGACACCTACTGCGACAGACGAGGGCATGGTGGACGCAGCGAGTGTCGAGCACCACACAGGTAGCCAGCCACATGACCATCTCTTTCTCATCGGCTGCTGACTTCGTCTGCGTGTGCTGCAGTCCAGAGCCAGGAGGGGAGTGGTGTCGTGGCGCAGGGAGGGACAGACCACCACATGCCGCCTGCAGGTATGCAAATCGGCGAACGTCTCCCTGGCTGGGACATTGTTCACGTTTCATTTGATGGCGTGTAGGTGCTGCTGCTGGTGAAGTCCCCCAGAAGCGCAAGCAGGCGTCTGAGGTGAGTTGCGAAAACGCACAGCAGGAGGAAACTGACCCCTGTACTTGTGGGTGTCGTGATGTGTGCAAGGTGGATGGGGAAGCTCCGCTCGCCAAGCGGGTGACGACCGTCAATCAATGCGACAGTGCCACCCAAGTGGGCGCCGCACTCAGAGAAGGAAGAAGTTAATGTGCCGTCCATTCGTGAGTTTGTGTTGTGTCTTCTGCAGGACAATGAGAGCGACCGACCTCCCAAGGCACGCCCCCCGAAGGTGTGCATGGACAGGAGGGAGTTGCCGCCGCGACACATCACGCGTCCACGCTTCCACGCCTGTTTGTCGTTCAGGCCGCTGCGAAGGCCGGTGGTACAGGAGGGGCACCGCGACCTGAGAGCGACTGCCATGCCGCACTGACCAAGGCACTGAATGCCCGTCCAGAGCTGAAGGGGCTGCACTTCACCTGCCGCCCGACGGCATTCGCCCTCACGATGGTCGTGCGGGTGCAGATCAGCACCCTCACCGACGGCAAGGCCGAGTACCTGTACGCGCCCGCCGTCCGCGACCCGTCGTCAGCGCAGTGGCAGTGTGAGGAGCTGCTGGAGGGGCTGCGGGCGCTGAGGACGTCGCGCGACGCCCTTGACAACCACCCCGGCTGGCAGGTCGCCATAGGCAAGACGACCCAACAGGCAGAGTACAAGCCCACGGGGGGATTGCCCCCCCGCCAAGGGTCTGCCGGTGCGCCGGAGCAGTACTCGCCAGTAGCGGCAGCCAAGAAGAGGATCAGCAAGCCGGCGGCCACGAGGGGGGCAGAGAAAGAGCAGCGGGAGAGGGAGGGAAAGGGCGGGGGCAGAAAGCGCAAGAAGGAACAGTTGGACGGTAAGTGGTTGAATGAGTAAGGAAACAGCCAGACGCGCCCCCCAAACGCCTGTGTGCATTTTGTTCTTTTGCAGGTAGTGGTAGTGGTTCTGCTGTGGGTGGCTCGGGTGCGGCCGCGTCGACGGGCGCTGTTGGCCCAGGTATGCCGAGAGGCAGCGGGCGGGCCATGATCGCCACACATAGAGAGAATGTGGGGGGTGCAGGCAACCTGGCTGCGCTACTCCAGCAGCACAGCCACGACACCCCTCACCGTGACGACACCACGGCCCCCACTGCGGCAGCCGAGGACATGCGGGGCGCAGCGAATGGCGAGCACCACACAGGTAGGCACACGGACGGACAGACAGACAGACACACAGACAGATGACAGACAGACCTCATACGGCTTTGTCTGCGTCTTGTTTTCTGCAGGCGAAGAGGGAGAGGGAGGCCGCGCCGCGGTGCAGGAAGGGGCAGACCACCCCATGCCCCCTGCAGGTATGCGTGCAAATGGGCGAACGTCTCTCTGGCGGGCACGCTGTTCACGTTCGTGTTTGTCGTGTAGATGTGACTCCTCAGAAGCGCAAGAAGACACCCGAGGTGAGTTGCGAGAACCTACAGGAGGGCAGGGAGGCAGGCTGTATGTATGTGCACATGTATGCAGGACGCTGGCGGTTCGGACTTCGCACACAACAGAAAGCAGAAGCATCGCAAGAGCGCGAAACACACGGCGGGTCCGTCATCCGTACGCGTGCATGCGACAATGTGTGTGTGTGTGTGTGTCCCGATTCCGTACCCTCCACAGCATGCGGGCGGTGGGGGAGGGAGCGCCCCGCTGCACGTGAAGGAGTGCAGTAACGCGGTCAAGGCCCGCAACGAGACAAAAGGGCTGAAGGTCACCTGCCACCCCATCCCTGGGACCAACGAGGCAGTGACCGTGACGGTGACGGTGTCCGCCGACGGCCTCAGCGACGGCAGGGCCCGCTACATCAGCGCGACGGCCTCCCGCGACCCGTCGTCAGGGCAGTGGCGCTTTGACAAGCTGCTGGAGGGGCTGCGGGCGCTGACGACGTCTCCCGATCGGCTTGATTTGCCGAATTCTGGTTGGCAGCTCGCCCAGGACAGCCGCAACAGGACGCCGTACTACAGGGACGGGAGCACACACGGGCCGCAAGGAGGCGGCGGGGGGGGG